GTATTACTTTTCCTGAGGCCAAAATCTCCTGGGGCCAAATTCACGAAGCATTTACGCAAGCACTTACGAACCTGTACATCTTTTCTCAATCTTTGGCGGCTTTGTTTACATTTATTAAACAATTAATGAGCTCCGAAGCACCAGGAGGCTGTTTATAACAATAACAACAGTAGAATGGGAAGTTTTCATGCTTGTAAACTGTTTAATAAATGTAACCAAAGCTGTCAAAGATTTTGAGGAAAGATGTACACGTTCGTAAGTACTTGCGTAAGTGCTTTCGTGAATCTGGCCTCTGATGTACAAGAAAACGGTAGCGGCTCGTGAAAAGGTCCCGTTTTCTGTTCGTGGGGTCCTTTGGTTGGTTAGGTTAGGCTAGGACACTATATTACAAAATTTTGTTCTATGTTGGGAACGCTGGTGAGAACGGGCGGGGTTTCACGAAGTCTGAAATCGGGGATGTGTTTTCCATAGAGTTAGCATCATTTTTTTTTTCAGTTGGCATGAGGTTCCTAGCTAGAGCTTTGCAATTACTTTATTCACTCTCGTGTTCTTGAAGATATCCTCAAAATGCACCCAAAATTTGCCAGTGCCGGCTATTGAATATATGGCCCTGTATGACTAACCATCCTGTGAGATGGGGACTTTTAGTATCACTGTTATCTTATTCACTCTTGTGTTGATGACGATATCCTCATAATGCATCCAGAGTCTGCCAGTGCAGACTACTGATCACATGCCTCTGTATGACTAACCATCCTGTGTGATGGGGATTTTGTAGCCTCACGTAGCTAGCTTTCTGACACACTGTACTCCCCTTCATATAGTCCAGGGCAGCTGCACAAATGCAGATCTACCTAATGTATTAATAAAGAAAAAGCCTCGTAATATTAACATTTCTTGAGAGAAGGAAAGAGAGTACAGAGACAGGAAGAGTATGTGTATTTTATTATTTGTGCCTGCAGGATCGAGCTGTTAGCTCTTGGACCCCGCCTCGGTTCGGTTGTCTGATGTACCCGATCTAATTTCCTGTATCATATCTACTACAAATATTTCTCTCGTGCACACACATCCCGCAGGATACAGCCCGTAGCAGCCTGTCTAATTCCCAGGTACCTATTTACTGCTTGGTGGACAGGTGCATCAGGGTGAAAGAAACTCTGTCTATTTGTTTCCGCCTCCGCCAGGAATCGAACCCGGGCTCAGCCACGTCAACACAGCCACGAGACCTATTCTGTTTCCATCTGTGTCCCCTAGTGCGTGTGCCCCTTGTGTTAAATAGCCTGTCTTTATCTACCCTATCAATTCCCTTGAGAATCTTGAATGTGGTGATCATGTCCCCCCCCTAACTCTTCTGTCTTCCAGCGAAGTGAGGTTTAATTCCCGTAGTCTCTCCTCGTAGCTCATACCTCTCAGCTCGGGTACTAGTCTGATGGCAAACCTTTGAACCTTTTCCAGTTTGGTCTTATCCTTGACTAGATATGGACTCCATGCTGGGGCTGCATACTCCAGGATTGGCCTGACATATGTGGTATACAAAGTTCTGAATGATTCTTTACACAAGTTTCTGAATGCCGTTCGTATGTTGGCCAGCCTGGCATATGCCGCTGATGTTATCCTCTTGATATGTGCTGCAGGAGACAGGTCTGGTGTGATATCAACCCCCAAGTCTTTCTTTCTCTGACTCCTGAAGAATTTCCTCTTCCAGATGATACCTTGTATTTGGCCTCCTGCTCCCTACACCTATCTTCATTATATTACATTTGGTTGGGTTAAACTCCCTGTTCTATTGTAAAGACCTCCTGGAACCTTTGTGTGCGCGCGTGCGTGTATGCACGCAAGCGTGCGATTGCCTAAAACATATTTCAATATTTCCATAACAGGTACCATGACCCTTTCCACCTGGTGAACACGTCCAGGTGGGCCAGGTCCAACACCTCCAGGACCCCCCCCCCACCAGCGGCGCGGGTCCTCTGCTCCGGGAGTCCCCGTGGCACGCCTACTGATTGGTGTAGTGTACTTGTGTTTACTTGTATAAATACCTGTGACAGCTGGGTGCGAGGTGGCTCATTACCACCCACAGGATGGGTACAGGGTTCACTACCTCCTACAGGATAGGTATAGGGTTCACTACCACCTACAGGATAGGTATAGGGTTCACTACCACCTACAAGATGGGTAAAAGGTTCACTACCTCCTACAGGATAGGTATAGGGTTCACTACCACCTACAGGATAGGTATAGGGTTCACTACCCCTACAAGATGGGTACAGGGTTCACTACCCCTACAAGATGGGTACAGGGTTCACTACCCCTACAAGATGGGTACAGGGTTCACTACCCCTACAAGATGGGTACAGGGTTCACTACCCCTACAAGATGGGTACAGGGTTCACTACCCCCCCCCCCCACAGGATGGATATAAGGGACATAATATACGAACAAAAATCAAATCTCCGTGGGGAAGGAACTCGTCTTATCTCTCATCCGACTCTCCCAGTTGTCTCCTCACACCTCATGTCGTCACCTTACCTCTCACCCAGCTGGTAGGCTTACCTATCTATACGTAAATTAAACGACCAGCTGGAGCGAGAATATTCACATCGAACTGTCCGAGCTAACTGGTGGCGTGTTGGTGGATCTCTAGTGAACGTAAGGCAAGATAATTTGGCTTATGTTGTATATAGTGGTTGGGTAGTCCCCTCCTCTCCACAGATATGGGTGGGCACGTTTCCTATCACCTAATGCTTGTGTTCACCTAGCAGTAAATAGGTACCCGGGAGTTGGTCAACTGTTGTGGGGGGGGGAGGGGGTTGCCTCCTGGGATGGATCAGTATAGTTCGACCTTCGGGGATCTTGATATGAGCTTGACATATAAATATACACAGGCTGCCTGTCCCCAACAAAATTATTGTGTCGAGTAGGCGGTTAACCAAACAACCTTGCAGGAATTTGAACTTACCAAAGATGAGGTCAAAGGAGCTCAGCTCCATCTGTTGGAGCTGAATGTGATAAAGGCTTTCGAGCTTCACAGAATCTCACCATGTACACTAAAAGAGGGTGCAGAAGCACTATGTGTGCCACTCTATTGTGTATAATAGGTCACTGGAAACAGGAGACCTACCGGAAAGTTAGAAGACAGCTAATGTAGTCCCTATATACATAAAAGGTGACAGGCAAGAGGCACTGAACTACAGGCCGGTTCCCTAATTTGTATACTGTCAGTGCAAGGTGATGGAGAAGATCGTGAGGAAAAAGCTTGTAGAACATCTAGAGAGGAGCTTTGTAACACACCACCAGCATAGGTTCAGGGATGGTAAATCGTGCCTCACAGGTTTAATAGAATTCTATGACCAGGTGACAAAAATTAGGCAAGACATAGAAGGGTGAGCAGACTGCATTTTCTTAGACTGTCAGAAAGCCTTTGACACAGTACTCCATAAGAGGCTGTTACAAAAGTTGGAGAAACAGGCAGGAACAACAGGTAAGGTGCTCCGCTGGATAAATGAATATCTACGCATTACGGGCTCACTATAGCCCGTGCTACATGGAAATTTTGTTCCAGTAGCTGAATCTAAAACAATAATAACGGATCTACGCAATAGAAAAGAGAGAGTTACTGTGAGGGGGGGAGGGGAGGGAGACATCAGAGTGGCGAGATGTCACCAGCAGAGTCCCACAGGGCTCTGTACTTGGATCATCCTGTTTCTATTAAATGTAAACGATCTTCCAGTGGCTATAGACTCATTGCTCTTCATGTTTGCTGATGATGCTAAAATTATGAGAAGGATCAAAACAGAGGAAGACAGAAACTACAAAGTGACCTGGGCAAACTGGAGGAATGGTCTAGAAAATGGCTACTAAAGTTTAATTCAAGTAAGTGTAATGAAATTAGGTAAAGGGAGCATGAGACCGAACATAAGGTACCATCTGGGAGGTGAAATCCTTCAAGCATCAAGTAGAGAAAGAGTTGAGAGTTGATATCACACCAAACCTGTCCCCAGAAGCACACATCAAAAGGATATCATCAGCGGCGTACGCTAGTTTGGCCAGCATAAAAACTACATTTCGAAACTTGTGTAAGGAATTATTCAGAACCTTGTAAACACATGTAAGACCAATGCTGGAATCCAAACCTAGATAAACACAAAGCAAAGATAGAGATTCAGAGGTATGCCACCAGACTTGTCCCAGAGCTGAGAAATATGAGTTTAGAGGAAAGGCTCTGGGAATTAACCCTCACGTCCCTAGAAGACAGAAGAATTAGGGGAGTCATGATCATCACCTACAAAATTCTCAGAGGAATTGACAGGGTGGACAAAGACAAACTACTTAGTATGAGTGGTACGCGAACAAGGGGACACAGGTGGAAACTTAGTACCCAAATGAGCCACACAGACATTGGAAATAATTTTGTCAGTGTCAAAGTAGTTAACAAATGAAACGCATTAGGCAGTAATGTGGTGGAGACTGACTCCATACCCAGTTTCAAATGCAGATACGATATAGCCCAACAGACTCAGGAACCTGTACACCAGTTGGCAGACAGTTGAGAGGCGGGACCAAAGAGCCGAAGCTCAACCCCCCCGCATGCCCAACTGGGCGAGCACCGGCCGGCGACCATAGAGGGAGAGGGTGGTGGCCTGGGGCCCAGGTGGTGGCCTGGGGCCCGGGTGGTGGCCCGGGCCGGGGTGGTGGCAGGTGCCGTGAGTCACAGCCATCTGCCAGGCCTCGTGACCTCAGCGTAGACAACTACCATTTTTTTTACGGTATCAAGACTGGAGTAATAAGAAATATATACAACTCATAATAACTGGCTTTTACTATAACAATCAGCAATGAATATTATCAGTATTAACGACGGGGAGTTTATATAACTTGTCTATAGTTATTGCGTCACGATGGACGCGCATGGGGGGTCCTCCCTCCCTCCCTGTTTCAACATGTTGACCAGTTTTTGTCAGTTTAAATTATTATGAACCTTATACGCATTCTGCGGGCGGTGGTGGAAAGGTTAAAACTTGCTATTTTCTGGCCAGGGGGAGAAAGATACTGGCAGTATGGGGCGTTAAAGTTTATTGAAGATTAAATTCTGCAGAACATGTAAATATATAAAGTTCACATAAAGTAAGTAATTATATAAAGTTTATATTAAACACGGTTTATATTATAGGCTTAACAAAGTTGATATTATATAAAACTTAATATTGAACATGTAAATATACAAAGTTTCAAATATAATTTAAGGAATATATAACGTTTATATTAAAATATATAAAGTAAATATATAAAGTAAATATATAAAGTAAGAATTAACAGTAACAATTCCAAGGACTAGATTTAACTTAAAAGGTACACCCGTAGTAAGTATGAGACCTTAGCCTATAGTGACATGGAAACTAATTCTGCAGAAACCTAAAGGTTAACTGGTACTAGAATTAAGGCCGAGTGCAAATGTGTAGTAATTATATAACACTAGGATATAACAGGCAGGACACAAAGAATAACTAATAAGTGAGAGACCACATAACACGTAATGTACCCGGCCAAGAGGCCGTAAAAGACCTAATGGATAAGGAGAAGGGGGTGTGACTACAAGTAGGGCTTACTAGCACCTAGACTGGGCAAAGTATTAGCTGCGGACAGCGGGACACTTGGGGACCGGCGCTGCACCCCCCTTCCCACATGCAGTGGGGAGACAATCGGGACAACTGTGCAAAGCATGACGGGGGTACAAAAGCAGCCGCTTGCAAAAAGGGGGGGAGGGTGGGGTTTTTCGAGGGCAGCGGCGAGGGCAGGCGGAGTGAGGCGGAGCCCCGTTGTGCGCCCGTATTTATGCGGCCCCAAACTGCCCGCGCAACGCCGCGGGATGCGCTGCGCAATTGTTTCTTTCTCCCCCGCCAGAAACATCCCCGCTTGTGTTGCAAGCAGTGACCATATTTGGCCAGGATTTTGGGTTTCCATGATTAAATATTTGGACATTTCTCGAGTATTTTTTAATGTTTTTTTATATGACCACAAACCCATCCTGAGTGGTTAGTGGACCTCATATCCATCCTGTGAGTGATGGTGGACCTCATACCCATCCTGTGAGTGATGGTGGACCTCATACCCATCCTGAGTGATGGTGGACCTCATACCCATCCTGAGTGGTTAGTGGACCTCATACCCATCCTGTGAGTGATGGTGAACCTCATACCCATCCTGAGTGATGGTGGACCTCATACCCATCCTGAGTGGTTAGTGGACCTCATATCCCTCCTGTGAGTGATGGTGGACCTCATACCCATCCTGTGAGTGATGGTGGACCTCATACCCATCCTGAGTGATGGTGGACCTCATATCCATCCTGAGTGGTTAGTGGACCTCATACCCATCCTGTGAGTGATGGTGGACCTCATACCCATCCTGTGAGTGATGGTGGACCTCATACCCATCCTGTGAGTGATGGTGGACCTCATACCCATCCTGTGAGTGATGGTGGACCTCATACCCATCCTGTGAGTGATGGTGGACCTCATACCCATCCTGTGAGTGATGGTAGACTGGTGGACCTCATACCCATCCTGTGAGTGATGGTAGACTGGTGGACCTCATACCCATCCTGTGAGTGGCATTGGACCCCCCTACCCATCCTGTGAGTGGCACTGGACCCCATACCCAACCTGAGAGTGGCACTGGACCCCATACCCATCCTGTGAGTGGTATATTGAATCCCATACCCATTCTGTGAGTGGCAGTGGACCCCATACCCATCATGAGTGGTAGTGGACCCCATACCCATCCTGAGTGGTAGTGGACCCCATACCCATCCTGGGTGGTAGTGGTCCCCATACCCATTCAGAATGGTAGTGGACCCCATACAAATCCTGAGTGGTAGTGGACCCCATATCCATCCTGAGTGGTAGTGGACCCCATACCCATCCTGAGTGGTAGTGGACCCCATACCCATCCTGAGTGGTAGTGGACCCCATACCCATTCTGTGAGTGGCAGGGGACCCCATACCCATTCTGTGAGTGGCAGTGGACCCCATACCCATTCTGTGAGTGGCAGGGGACCCCATACCCATTCTGTGAGTGGCAGGGGACCCCATACCCATCCAGAGTGGTAGTGGACCCCATACCCATTCTGTGAGTGGCAGGGGACCCCATACCCATCCTGAGTGGTAATGGACCCCATATCCATTCTGAGTGGTAATGGACCCCATACCCATTCTGTGAGTGGCAGGGAACCCCATACCCATTCTGTGAGTGGCAGTGGACCCTATACCCATTCTGTGAGTGGCAGTGGACCCCAAACCCATTTTGTGAGTGGCAGTGGACCCTATACCCATTCTGTGAGTGGCAGTGGACCCCATACCCATTCTGTGAGTGGCAGGGGACCCCATACCCATTCTGTGAGTGGCAGTGGACCCCATACCCATCCTGAGTGGTAGTGGACCCCATACCCATCCAGAGTGGTAGTGGACCCCATACCCATTCTGTGAGTGGCATTGGGGACCCCATACCCATTCTGTGAGTGGCAGTGGACCCCATACCCATTCTGTGAGTGGCAGGGGACCCCATACCCATCCTGTGAGTGGCAGGGGACCCCATACCCATTCTGTGAGTGGCAGTGAACCCCATACCCATCCTGCATGTAAGTGGTAGTGGACCCCATACCCATTCTGTGAGTGGCAGGGGACCCCATACCCATTCTGTGAGTGGCAGTGGACCCCATACCCATCCTGCATGTAAGTGGTAGTGGACCCCATACCCATCATGAGTGGTAGTGGACCCCATACCCATCCTGAGTGGTAGTGGACCCCATACCCATTCTGTGAGTGGCAGGGGACCCCATACCCATTCTATGAGTGGCAGTGGACCCCATACCCATTCTGTGAGTGGCAGTGGACCCTATACCCATTCTGTGAGTGGCAGTGGACCCCATACCCATTTTGTGAGTGGCAGTGGACCCTATATCCATTCTGTGAGTGGCAGTGGACCCCATACCCATTTTGTAAGTGGCAGTGGACCCTATACCCATTCTGTGAGTGGCAGGGGACCCTATACCCATTCTGAGAGTGGCAGTGGACCCCATACCCATTCTGTGAGTGGCAGTGGACCCCATACCCATTCTGTGAGTGGCAGTGGACCCCATACCCATTCTGTGAGTGGCAATGGACCCCATACCCATTCTGTGAGTGGCAGTGGACCCCATGCCCATTCTGTGAGTGGCAGTGGACCCCATACCCATTTTGTGAGTGGCAGTGGACACTATACCCATTCTGTGAGTGGCAGTGGACCCCATACCCATTCTGTGAGTGGCAGGGGACCCCATACCCATTCTGTGAGTGGCAGTGGACCCCATACCCATTCTGTGAGTGGCAGTGGACCCCATACCCATTTTGTGAGTGGCAGTGGACCCTATACCCATTCTGTGAGTGGCAGTGGACCCTATACCCATTCTGTGAGTGGCAGTGGACCCCATACCCATTCTGTGAGCGGCAGTGGACCCCATACCCATTCTGTGAGCGGCAGTGGACCCCATACCCATCCTGCATGTGAATGGTAATTGAAGAGGATATAGAGGCATATGATACCCCCAGGAACTGAATTCCAAAATCCATTTAGCTAAGTTACAGACTTGATAACCCAGTTACACAATTTAACATGGACTACTATAGCACAGTAGTCCATGGTCTTGACTCACAAGCAAAGGAGTCAAGTACATTCTCAAGATAAAAGAAACCGTTGGAAAATTTCCTTTCACCTGATGCCTCTGTTCGCCTAGCGGTTTTATATACTGTACCTGGAAGTTAGGCAACCGTTGTGGATTTCATCCTTGGGAAGGTCAATATTTGGCCTAGGGGAGAGTGGTAGTGGACCCCCATACCCATCCTGTGAGTGGTACTGGACCCCATACTCATCCTGCAAGTGGCCAAGTGGCAGTGAACTCCAAACCTATCCTGTGACAGGTAGTGGACCACATACCTATCCTGAGGGGGGGTGGGTAGTGGACCCCCATACCTATCCTGCAATTGGAAGTGAACTCAAAGCCTATTCCGTGAGTGGCAGTGGACCACATACCCATCCTGTAAGTGGCAGTGGACCCCTATATCCATCCTGTAAGTGGCAGTGGACCCTATACCCATCCTGCAAGTGGTAGTGAACCCTATACCCATCCTGTAAGTGGCAGTGGACCCCTATACCCATCCTGTAAGTGGCAGTGGACCCCTATACCCATCCTGCAAGTGGTAGTGGACCCTATACCCATCCTGCAAGTGGTAGGTGGACCCCATACCCATCCTGAGTGGTAGTGGACCCCATACCCATCCTGTAAGTGGCAGTGGACCCCTATACCCATCCTGCAAGTGGTAGTGGACTTCATACCCATTCTGTGAGTGGTAGTGGACTTCATACCTATTGTGAATAGTATGCTATATCAATAAATTCGTGCATAAGCTTCCAGCAACTTTGCAAATTTCCAGAAGAAAAAGTTTGCACTTAGTGCTTTTATTTTGTTCAGTATATAGACCAATACTATGTACAAATTTCCATGATGCATTTTGTCTTTACAGATAATAAGTTAGTAATGTTAAAGGTTTATAAACAATTGTATATTTAGTAACATCATGCATAAACTATAATGCATATACATGCATTATGTACACACGTTTTGCATCTATACTCAACACCATTCATTTTCAATTCCGAACATTTGACATAATTCATATATATTCCCCCCCAAAAAAAAAATTTGAAAATGGAACAAGTAGTGAATACAGTAAAAAAATTATGGATAACGAAGTGGGATGGACTGTTTATGTATTAGCGCGCAGCGAGAGGCTGGAATACTATAGTGTTAAATTTAATGAACCAAAATATTTAACTGATATAATTATACTTTTTACATAGAGCAATGGAATGATTCAACAAACTGGCAATGACCCTTACAAACTGGTTGAGCCTCAGTCTGTTGCAGAAACATTGTTTGCCAAGAGCCTTTTCTTATGTCACTCCCCTCAATAGTTTAACAGATTACTCATATCTATTAAGACTTACGAGTCTGTTCAAGTCCCATTTTAAAAAGCCATAGCACACAGCTTCTGGAAAATGTACTCTATGATTTGAAGAGTATGATGGAAATTCAGTTACCTTTTAAACGTTAATAGCTGCTCTGCATTTCTGCAAGCATGTACCTGGTAGTTTACTATAATCCCTGCAGTTGGTAAAACAAGGAATCAGTGAATTATTTTATATGGGCATAAAATTACCTAATAGTCAAAATCAATCATTTAGGCAAAAATGTCACATTCAAAGTTTTTACATTGTCAGCATTTCAAAAGGATAGACCATATAGACTAGAAGTACCTCTATAAAAGCTCCTTGTTACTTAGAACAACTTAATGTATATGAAATACCATAAAAATATATAAAAATTTATTACTTTGTACATTAAACTTGTATAAATATTAAGTTCAACTAAAAGGATGAAATTTAGCTGATAATGTATTAAAAGATAATACTGTATATGCTATACATCCTCATCTCCAATTTGGCTGTCTTCAACTTGCCTAGTTGCAGGCATGTAAACTTTGAAAGAGAAGTCCGTCTTGGAGAATGATCCCTGCAAGAAATGCATCAATAATTAATAAAAAACAAAGGCAACAACAGGCAAGGAGGAAGAGATGGTAAAGAGTGCAATGCAAACAAGAAGCTGATGTTCAGTTTATTCTCATACACTATTCCATTCATGTATTATCTGTACCTCTATTCTTTCTGTGTCAATGACTTCATTATTCACTGAACGTATTTTTCCCCACTTAATACCATGAACATTCTGATGTACTATACAACACCTACAGTATATTACTAGTCCTTTGTCTTTTGCTCTGTCCAATTCTTCATTCTATTCAAGCCTTTAACTATATTTCTCTGCTTATAAAATTCCCCCGAGCTACTTACATTATGCTACTCCAGTACTGTAACTACCTTAAGACTAATTGTGCTGTCTTCAGTTTCAGGGAATGTATACATGTAGCTATGTCAGTGCACAGAATTCCTCATTCCTTACTGGCTCACTTGACCGAGGTGCAGTTTTATCATGAAAAGGCACAGGTGAATTTGTAGAATACCTTCTGGATAAGGAGGACTGGAGGTAATAGCACAACCATCAAGCTATATATAAAGATCTCTGTTGTCAAGGTTTGTAGAGACTTTATACAAATCTGGTGGGTATATGGGTGACACATGGATGGAGAGAAAATTGGAAGGAATATTATGTGACACAGGAAGTGAGGAAGTTGAGTGAGTGGTTGCTGTCTGCATAAATCAGCTCATGAAATGACTTGAGCAGAAGTAGTGCCATTATATTGCCTCATATGGTATACATGTGGATAGTGTGTGAAAGGTCCAAGAGGAGGAATATATGACTGGTATACCAGTCATATATGCAAGATACTATGTGCCTACTGGGTATACAAGATACTATGTGCCTACTGGGAGCTGGGAAAGAACAACCCTGGCAAGCAGACAAGCAGACCGGCTGGGAGCCCACACCAACCAGTCGTCGAGGTGACTGGTCTTTCCCACCTTTTCATATCATTTTTGCATATATTTCCCACCTGCTTCTTATTTGTTTATACATACACTATGCTTCAATAGCTGCAAATAAACTTATGGCAGGCCTAAATTGTGCTTCATTTGCCTTGTTTAAAACTCAACTGAGAAAAATCCTCAGGAATAATAGGGAGTGGAGGGAGAGGAATATTTGACAAGTCGCTGGATTCCTGTCCCCGTTGAGACCACTAGAGATGGTGGCGGCCCTTGAGTAAATTTAGGTAAATAAGATCAGAAATCATTTTGGTGAGAAAATTCACAGGAGCCACGATAAGGGTTTGAACCTATGCGCCGGGTGTTGCCAGATGCACGCTCTAGTCGACTACGCCACAACATGGTAAATCCTGGTAAAGCCAAAACCCTGGTTCAGCTTCAGTGGAAGCCTCGGGATCCTCGAGGGTGCAGTAGTACCCCAGGTTGCAATTCTTTTACCATGTCGTGTCGTAGTGGACTAGAGCGTGCATCTGGGAACACCCAGCACATAGGTCCGAATCCTCATCATAGCTCCTGTGGATTTTGTCATTGATATATCACGTTAATATGATTTCTTTGTGTAATCATTTTTATATTAACCAAAAGTGCATTAAGTGGCCCAAATAAGTTTATGTGAGGACAGAACTAATGACAAAGACTTAACTAACTCGATTACTTTCAGAATACAGTAATTAAGACCAGCATTACTCTAACAAAGGACAGTACTGTTGACTATCTAACCCAAAATTATTTGAATCTTCAGATTAGCAGACAGGCGTTCAGTTTGGATAAGGTCTCTGGGTTATCCAACCAGTAGTCAAATGAACCAAGATATAATTCTCATTGTTGAGGGACAGAAAGCCTGTACAGTACTTTGACTTATCGAGGTCCCCCTAGGCCAACTACTGGTCTTCAACAGGATGCAACCCACAACAGTTGCCTAACTCCCAGGTACCTATTTACTACTAGGTGAACAGAGGAATCTGATGAAGGAAATGTGCCCAACCATTTCTGTCCCGCCTGAGGATTGAACCTGGGATCCTCAATAGTGAGTCGAGGACGTAGACTACAGGGCCCATACCAGATAAATGTAAGATTGTAATGAAAAATTACATGCAGATTAAGGTTTCTAAATTAGTAGAATCAGAGAGCTCAACAAATCTTATACCTAACATAGGGTCAGCCCCAATTACTTCATATTAACTGAAAATACAGTACTGTACTGTAATGCACAATATTTGTTGTTTCACACCTGGGTCAACTTAATGCTAAACACTGTTTATATTACAAATACATTCAGTCCTCAGGCTAAAGTGATTCTACCGAATCGACCGCCACTGATTAAACCATCTAGATATTTATCTAGATATGTAACACTGATCACAAAAACACTGATCTATGTATGCAGAAAAACCACATGTGAAAAATAGAGAAGGCTTAATGCATTTTTGGCTAATTCACCTTCATCAGAGCAAAGTAGAATCAAAGATTCTACATATATATATATATATATATATATATATATATATATATATATATATATATATATATATATATATATATATATATATATATATATATATATATATATATATATATATATTAGTATATTTTGGTAGCAGTCTTTCCTGTAGACATATTTTATTAAATATGACCGAAAAAGTAAGATTAATAATTCTAACACGAATTTTCTCAATCTTTCGTACATTATGCTTCACTGTTGGAGGTAAATCAAAAATCACTTCTCCAAAATTCATTTTTATTTCTAGTCTGACGCGACACGGGCGCGTTTCGTAAAACTTATTACATTTTCAAAGACTTCACAAATACACAACTGATTAGAACTTGCGTTTCCCTGATTTTATATCTACATTTGAGTGAGGTGGGAAGGGTGATGTGGCATTACATTTGAGTAAGGTGGGAAGGATGATGTGGCATTAGAGGATATTAATAGGGTATTAAAAGTATCAACACAAGACAGAACACGAAACAATGGATATTGAATAGAAGTGTTTGTAGAAAGCCTATTAGTCCATATTTCTTGATGCTTCTATATTGGAGCGGAGTCTTGAGGTGGGTAGAATATAGTTGTGCAATAATTGGCTGTTGATTGCTGGTGTTGACTTCTTGATGTGTAGTGCCTCGCAAACGTCGAGCCGCCTGCTATCGCTGTATCTATCGATGATTTCTGTGTTGTTTACTAGGATTTCTCTGGCGATGGTTTGGTTATGGGAAGAGATTATATGTTCCTTAATGGAGCCCTGTTGTTTATGCATCGTTAAACGCCTAGAAAGAGATGTTGTTGTCTTGCCTATATACTGGGTTTTTTGGAGCTTACAGTCCCCAAGTGGGCATTTGAAGGCATAGACGACGTTAGTCTCTTTCAAAGCGTTCTGTTTCGTGTCTGGAGAGTTTCTCATGAGTAGGCTGGCCGTTTTTCTGGTTTTATAGTAAATCGTCAGTTGTATCCTCTGATTTTTGTCTGTAGGGATAACGTTTCTATTAACAATATCTTTCAGGACCCTTTCCTCTGTTTTATGAGCTGTGGAAAAGAAGTTCCTGTAAAATAGTCTAATAGGGGGTATAGGTGTTGTGTTAGTTGTCTCTTCGGAGGTTGCATGGCTTTTCACTTTCCTTCTTATGATGTCTTCGATGAAACCATTGGAGAAGCCGTTATTGACTAGAACCTGCCTTACCCTACAGAGTTCTTCGTCGACTTGCTTCCATTCTGAGCTGTGGCTGAGAGCACGGTCGACGTATGCGTTAACAACACTCCTCTTGTACCTGTCAGGGCAGTCGCTGTTGGCATTTAGGCACATTCCTATGTTTGTTTCCTTTGTGTAGACTGCAGTGTGGAAACCTCCGTCCTTTTCCATGACTGTTACATCTAGAAAAGGCAGCTTCCCATCCTTTTCCGTCTCGTAAGTGAAACGCAGCACGGAACTCTGCTCAAATGCCTCCTTCAGCTCCTGCAGATGTCTGATATCAGGTACCTGTGTAAAAATGTCGTCAACATACCTGCAGTATATGGCCGGTTTCAAGTTCATGTCGACTAAGACTTTTTGCTCGATGGTACCCATGTAGAAGTTTGCAAACAGGACACCTAGGGGAGAACCCATAGCGACCCCATCTACTTGCTTATACATGTGCCCATCCGGGCTCAAGAAGGGTGCCTCTTTAGTACAAGCTTGGAGTAGTTTCCTCAGAATACTTTCTGGCATGTCAAGAGGAGTACAGGCTGGATCACGATACACTCTGTCGGCTATCATTCCGATTGTCTCGTCCACAGGTACGTTTGTAAACAGCGATTCTACGTCCAACGAGGCTCTTATCCCTGTGGCCCGTGCGCCCCGCAGCAAGTCCACAAATTCCTTTGGAGACTTCAGGCTGAAGGCGCAAGGAACATAAGGAGTCAGCAGGCCGTTGAGTCGCTTCGCCAATCTGTACGTGGGTGTGGGTATCTGGCTAATGATTGGCCGAAGTGGGTTTCCAGGCTTGTGCGTCTTGACATTTCCATACGCATATCCAGGTTTATATTCCCCAATGATCTTTGGCAGGTGGAGTCCGGATTTCTTGGCGTTCACAGTTTCGATCAGTTTGTTGACCTTTGCTTTTAATTCGGCTGTAGTGTCCTTCGTTACCCTTTGGAACTTAGTTTGGTCAGAGAGTATGATGTTCATTTTCGCCAGATACTCGTCTTTTTTAAGAATGACATATATTGGCGACTTGTCACCTCTCCTGACAACTATCTCCTTGTTCTCACGAAGGCTTTTAGCTGCCGCTCTAAGCTCGGGGGACAGTATGGTGCTTCTGTAGTTGCCTCGATTCTTTCCTCCTTCTGCAATAAGTTCTGCTTGTAAGGTATCTTTGGTAGTGACCTTCTTTTGTGTCTCGAGGTCGAATATGTCGTCCAACAGAATTTCCAACTCCACTTTCCGGGCCATTTCACTCGGTCTGGACATAACATGACAGTTTATGCCCAGATTTAGGAGAGTGACTTGGTCCTCAGTGAGGTTAATTCCTGCAAGGTTCAGGAAGCCATCTCTTGGTCGTGGAATTGCCATAGGTCCTCCATATAATGTTGTTAGTTTCTTGATAATCCTTGTTTCAGTGCTGAGGTGATGTTGGTCTGTGAGGATGTCGAGGTGTTGTTCAATGCGGGTACGGATACTATGGTCGATGTTGCTATTTCTCCACTCGTTTGTAGCATGAAGTAGTTGCGTTTTTTTTGTCTTTGATTTCATTCTCTGCCTTGTATATCTGATCACGAATCAGATCCTGGCGATATTTTATCGTGAAGGCTTGATTCCTTGCTGCTGGGTCGTGCACTTTAACATTAGTATATTTTGGTAGCAGTCTTTCCTGTAGACATATTTTATTAAATATGACCGAAAAAGTAAGATTAATAATTCTAACACGAATTTTCTCAATCTTTCGTACATTATGCTTCACTGTTGGAGGTAAATCAAAAATCACTTCTCCAAAATTCATTTTTATTTCTAGTCTGACGCGACACGGGCGCGTTTCGTAAAACTTATTACATTTTCAAAGACTTCACAAATACACAACTGATTAGAACTTGCGTTTCCCTGATTTTATATCTACATTTGAGTGAGGTGGGAAGGGTGATGTGGCATTACATTTGAGTAAGGTGGGAAGGATGATGTGGCATTAGAGGATATTAATAGGGTATTAAAAGTATCAACACAAGACAGAACACGAAACAATGGATATTGAATAGAAGTGTTTGTAGAAAGCCTATTAGTCCATATTTCTTGATGCTTCTATATTGGAGCGGAGTCTTGAGGTGGGTAGAATATAGTTGTGCAATAATTGGCTGTTGATTGCTGGTGTTGACTTCTTGATGTGTAGTGCCTCGCAAACGTCGAGCCGCCTGCTATCGCTGTATCTATCGATGATTTCTGTGTTGTTTACTAGGATTTCTCTGGCGATGGTTTGGTTATGGGAAGAGATTATATGTTCCTTAATGGAGCCCTGTTGTTTATGCATCGTTAAACGCCTAGAAAGAGATGTTGTTGTCTTGCCTATATACTGGGTTTTTTGGAGCTTACAGTCCCCAAGTGGGCATTTGAAGGCATAGACGACGTTAGTCTCTTTCAAAGCGTTCTGTTTCGTGTCTGGAGAGTTTCTCATGAGTAGGCTGGCCGTTTTTCTGGTTTTATAGTAAATCGTCAGTTGTATCCTCTGATTTTTGTCTGTAGGGATAACGTTTCTATTAACAATATCTTTCAGGACCCTTTCCTCTGTTTTATGAGCTGTGGAAAAGAAGTTCCTGTAAAATAGTCTAATAGGGGGTATAGGTGTTGTGTTAGTTGTCTCTTCGGAGGTTGCATGGCTTTTCACTTTCCTTCTTATGATGTCTTCGATGAAACCATTGGAGAAGCCGTTATTGACTAGAACCTGCCTTACCCTACAGAGTTCTTCGTCGACTTGCTTCCATTCTGAGCTGTGGCTGAGAGCACGGTCGACGTATGCGTTAACAACACTCCTCTTGTACCTGTCAGGGCAGTCGCTGTTGGCATTTAGGCACATTCCTATGTTTGTTTCCTTTGTGTAGACTGCAGTGTGGAAACCTCCGTCCTTTTCCATGACTGTTACATCTAGAAAAGGCAGCTTCCCATCCTTTTCCGTCTCGTAAGTGAAACGCAGCACGGAACTCTGCTCAAATGCCTCCTTCAGCTCCTGCAGATGTCTGATATCAGGTACCTGTGTAAAAATGTCGTCAACATACCTGCAGTATATGGCCGGTTTCAAGTTCATGTCGACTAAGACTTTTTGCTCGATGGTACCCATGTAGAAGTTTGCAAACAGGACACCTAGGGGAGAACCCATAGCGACCCCATCTACTTGCTTATACATGTGCCCATCCGGGCTCAAGAAGGGTGCCTCTTTAGTACAAGCTTGGAGTAGTTTCCTCAGAATACTTTCTGGCATGTCAAGAGGAGTACAGGCTGGATCACGATACACTCTGTCGGCTATCATTCCGATTGTCTCGTCCACAGGTACGTTTGTAAACAGCGATTCTACGTCCAACGAGGCTCTTATCCCTGTGGCCCGTGCGCCCCGCAGCAAGTCCACAAATTCCTTTGGAGACTTCAGGCTGAAGGCGCAAGGAACATAAGGAGTCAGCAGGCCGTTGAGTCGCTTCGCCAATCTGTACGTGGGTGTGGGTATCTGGCTAATGATTGGCCGAAGTGGGTTTCCAGGCTTGTGCGTCTTGACATTTCCATACGCATATCCAGGTTTATATTCCCCAATGATCTTTGGCAGGTGGAGTCCGGATTTCTTGGCGTTCACAGTTTCGATCAGTTTGTTGACCTTTGCTTTTAATTCGGCTATAGTGTCCTTCGTTACCCTTTGGAACTTAGTTTGGTCAGAGAGTATGATGTTCATTTTCGCCAGATACTCGTCTTTTTTAAGAATGACATATATTGGCGACTTGTCACCTCTCCTGACAACTATCTCCTTGTTCTCACGAAGGCTTTTAGCTGCCGCTCTAAGCTCGGGGGACAGTATGGTGCTTCTGTAGTTGCCTCGATTCTTTCCTCCTTCTGCAATAAGTTCTGCTTGTAAGGTATCTTTGGTAGTGACCTTCTTTTGTGTCTCGAGGTCGAATATGTCGTCCAACAGAATTTCCAACTCCACTTTCCGGGCCATTTCACTCGGTCTGGACATAACATGACAGTTTATGCCCAGATTTAGGAGAGTGACTTGGTCCTCAGTGAGGTTAATTCCTGCAAGGTTCAGGAAGCCATCTCTTGGTCGTGGAATTGCCATAGGTCCTCCATATAATGTTGTTAGTTTCTTGATAATCCTTGTTTGGAGAATTTTGGAGAAGTGATTTTTGATTTACCTCCAACAGTGAAGCATAATGTACGAAAGATTGAGAAAATTCGTGTTAGAATTATTAATCTTACTTTTTCGGTCATATTTAATAAAATATATATATATATATATATATATATATATATATATATATATATATATATATATATATATATATATATATATATATATATATAAAGGCTTTAAAAATAGACTCTGGTAAACTTGTTTTCTTTGGTAAGCCCTTAAGCCAAGATTTCCTTTAATGCCAACTTCTAAGGAATACTCAAACAGATAAAAAATTCATGTTTTACATGTTTTCAGATGCAATATACTTGTCTAACTTAATCTAACCTGATTATGTAACACATTTTGAAGTGATTACAATGAAGGTATATACCCTGAGGACAGGTTGTACAAATAATGAACTACATCACAAAAAACATACTGGGTTCATGATGATGCATTGATTGTGTGTTGTTGTGAAGGAGTCTCCTTTGTCAGCAATGATGATGACATCTGGGGTAGGGTGGAGGGCGAGGCAGTGGTCAAGGCCCCAGTATACTGGCAACACATGCAGCGGCAGCGGTGCTAGGTGGCTCTGGCTCACCACTGTCTTAGCAAACTGTAGCACAACAAAATACTGTATTCAGACTTCCAATGTCGTGATGTGAAAGACTGCAAGCAACAGCTTTACAGATCAAGTTATCAACACAATTTCCTTCTTTGATTGTTCTTGCTCTCAACTTTGTTTACACAAATTTATCTTTTATCAATCACACATCACAGGCATTCCAACTGATGGACCAAATCCAGCATTTTGCCATTTCACATAAATTTCACAAAGATGTATCAGTTGGCATATACATAACATATACAATCCCTTTCTCCTCAAACTATCAAATCTAATCAAGTTTACATTAGCAACTCTTTTCACTCAATAGACTTCCAAAGTATTCCCTTAACCTACTTCTAATATTTTCATCATTTAACTTTCTTTGTTGTTTATAGTATCTTCAACATTCCTATTTACAAGTCCATCAGTCTCCCTGCTCCTCCTCTTAACTTATTTATAAACAAACTTCTTCGATCCCACGATCGTCGTCGCCCCTAAATCAACACAACATAAACAAACTTCCTGTTTTCTGATCAATTTTCTTCATTATTCTCCCTTTCATTCATTTTCTATTATTTCCCCTAATTAATCTGTTCCCATACCTTTTACTTTCAACATACTCCTGTTATTGCCTTGAAGTTTGTATAATGCCAAAACCTTGCTTGGCATTCATAATTAAACCTTCTTCTTATACATTATTCACTTTTTTACTTTGTTTGTGTTGTACAGTCCTTATCCCTATGCCCTAGATAATGATAAAACTGAAATATTATAATATTAAAAACTTACATGAGCTGGAATGTCATCAGAATTAGTGGGAAAATATACACAGTTTCGACACATCTTGGCCACAATATTTTCCCGGAAGATGACAATCTCCTGGGTACAGTAGAGCAAGCGGCAAGGGTTGCTAACAAAGATAGCAGATGGCACCGTTTTCCGTATTTCTTCAGTAACATATTTTGGCAAAGGAGGTCTGGGGATGTATCACATACAAATTATGCTAATTATAACATTTGAGAGAGATGTTGACTTGTGAAGTAAAATTATACAATGAAAAATTCAGAATTCTCTACAGCAACTACAGTGCAACAATAAAAATATTAGAAAATATTGAACCTGTACAAAGGGATTGAATCGGCATCCCTGAACTCTTCAGACATACGCAATATTAACGGGGCCATTCATGGTTTATTTGGCAGTGCGTGTGCCTGAGAAGTTTGATCCCATTGTACAGAATCAATATTTTTCTCATAGATATATCACATTTGTGATTTCATTGTGCTTTCTCTCTTCTTGCCATTCGAAAATGTGGGAAAAATATTCACCTGGGAAAAATATTACTTGGTCCGGGATCATTGGGTCCGGGCACGAAGATGAACTTAGAGTGAGCCAGAAGTTCAGGGTAGCCGGCAATGAGAGTACCAAGCGATGTTAAATATTGCCGCAAATCAGGTGCCTGTAAACAGAGAAGTCTATGTATAAGATGATTCTAACTTTGTTGCTACTTCATATGGAATATAACAGATTTTCTTTAGTGCAATTCATTTATTTATATTTTTTTTATAAAATAAACTTTCAAAATTAAATTGTCAGTCAATAGAGATGATATAGCTTTTGGTCAATGTACAATGTTGCAAGGTCTTTTATTTTATTAAATAAAAATTAAATGTATTACCTATTTTCTGTCAGGCAAATCACAGTACAAGTCAACTTTATTTCAAATGCCTCTTTCTTCTGGAAATTTATACCGTCTCATATCATGAAACAGATCGATATGCTCACTGCACACACAGTAAGCATGCACACAATCTTATGCCTATGCAGTCCACAGAACAATCTGCACATTTTTTCTTACTGTATTTTTTTATCATCATAAAACATATTTTATCTACGAGCTGAATTAATTATGACACTCCTGATGTACACACTAACCTGTTCTGATCCATGGCAGGAAGATAAAAAATTACCACAGAAGATAAACGCAGTCGGAGGAAACTGAGCATAACCACCAAAAAGTGTGCGCAACTTCTCTGTTACCTGAAACACACACAAAATTACTGAAACAAAAATTATTACAAAAGTATATGCACCAAAAAGAATACATAACCTCTATGTAATCTAAAATACAGAACTACCGTAGTACAAAATTATTTAAAAAACATTCAGAACTAAATGTGACGTGTAACAATTTTGTAATGCTGCTCCTGAAAAACTATCACAATAATATTAAATATCTATTCATATTAATATTAAAGGTCACTGAATTACCTCATTGTCCTAGTGTTAAACAATGTGAATTTTTACAATGTTATTTTTATCTGAACTCCTGTAAATGAGTGTTACTAATAAGTGTTCACAGTTGGGAAGACTATTTAAACCCAGTAATTGTTATTATTGTTATTATAATTATTGATTGTTACTTAAAATGATATCAGTCACAAACCTGGAGATCACAAAGAGCCTTATTTTGTCTTAATCATTTCTAACATCTGAAAACAATGTTACGTACAGTATAGGTTTTAACTAATAAGTTAGTATGGGTACCAGCCAAAGTAACTACCTGTACTGTAATTATCAACAGAAAGCTCCTAACTGGAAAGACTATTTAGCACTGTCTCTGTTGCAGGTGATTTAAAAGGCCCTAAATATCTATCAGGCTGCCAATACAAGAGCAAAAAGACTTAAGACGTGCAACGTCAAAGGCATCCAATTCACCAAGGCGTCTACCGATGGGCAAGTAACTCAGAGGATCACTGGGAAAGCAAGACTTATAGTCATACAGGGTATTAGAATACATGTACCTTTATGCTGTATCTGACTTCCCTCCAACCCTTTCTACCAGGTGAAATACTGCATGCAAGTATCCTATGGATTTACTCAAAATAACTCCTGTTGTTGGGAACAGGAAGTCTGTATCCCAGTTCGTATTGAAGGTCTTCCCCTAGGTCAAACTACTGAACTTCCCCCATGATGCATCCCACAACAGTTGCCTAACGCTCGGGTATCTATCTACTGCTAGGTGTACAGGAAACATACCTAACCATTTCTGTCGTGTTCAGAGACTGAACTCAGGAATCTCGACTTTGAACCGAGAATGTAAACCACTTTCTTGGTTTAGCAGTCTTTCTTGTAAACATATGTTGTTGAATATGACCGAAAGGGTAAGATTAATGATTCTAACACGAATCTTTTCAATGTTTCTTACATTTTTCTTCATTGTTGGGAGTAATTGAAAAATTAACTCTCCAAAGTTCATTTTCTTATTTTTATTTATGGTCAAACGCCTAAAAGTGTTTCGCAAGGACTTCTTACATTTTCAAAGACAGGTTTACACATATCATTTCATGCTTATATTCATTTTGGGTGAGGTGATTTGACACAAATGTTTTTGGGTGAGGTGACAAAAGATAGAACACAAATCAATGGGTATAAATTGCATATGAGAACATAAGAATGAAAGTAACTACAGAAGGCCTATTGGCCCATATTTTCTCTTGATGCTTTTATGTTGGTTCGGGGTCTTGAGGTGGGTAGAATATAGTTATGTGTTAATTGGTTGTTGATTGCTAGTGTTGACTTTTTGATGCGTAGGGCCTCGCTGATGTCGAGTCTCCTGCTATCACTGAATCTATCGATGATTTCTTGCTTGTTGCTCTGGTGATTGTCTGGTTGAGAGAGGAGATTATATGTGCCTTGATGGAGCCCTGTTGTTTGTGCATTGTTAATCGCCTAGAAAGAGACGCTGTTGTTTTGTCTATATACTGAGATCATTGGGGCTGACAGTTCCCAAGTGGGCATGTGAAGGCATAGACGATGTTGGTTTCTTTCAATGCGTTCTGTTTGGTGTCTGGAGAGTTTTTCATGAGTAGGTTGGCTGTTTTCTTGTTTTTGTAGTAAATTATCAATTGTATCTTCTGATTTTTGTCTGTAGGAATAACGTTCCTATTAATAATATCTTTCAGGACACTCTCCTCCATTTTATGAGCCGTCGAAAAGAAGTTCCTGTAAAACAGTCTAATAGGGGGGGAGGGGGTACAAGTGTTGTGTTAGTTGACTCTTCAGAGGTTGCATGGCGTTCCACCTTTCGTTTTATGACGTCTTCAACATAACTGTTAGAGAAGCCATTGTTGACCAGAACCTGCCGTACCCTACAGAATTCTTCATCGACTTGCTTCCAACCTGAGCTGTGATTGAGAGCCCGGTCGATGTAAGCGCTGACAACACTCCTCTTGTACCTGTCTGGGCAGTCACTATTGGCATTAAGGCACATTCCTATGTTTGTTTCCTTAGTGTAGACTGCATCGTGGAATTCACCCAGAAAATGGCGTTTTATTACATTCAACGCTGGTTTTCTGGGGGGAGCCCCTACGGCTCCCCGGAGCTACTTCACCAAAGACTACCTAAGAAAACAAGAGGACATACCCGGGAGGTGGTCGGTGAACCACTCCGCAACACGAAGTCGAGACAACAACCCAAGGACCCCTCCGGAAAGCAGCAGGCACAACATTCGCCAGAAAAAGGGAGAACGGCTGCAGATGAAGAAACCTATGACCACGACCATAGGAGCCAAAAACCACTGTGCCTGAGAAGAGCATGAAGCTCTGCCACACGACCCCCAGAGGCCAATGCCAACATAAAAAGAGAGCCGAAGCAAAGCAAACCTGAACCGAAGGAGCCACAACAACCAAGGAGAAGAAAAACAGGAGAGCACCCTGTCCAAAGACCAGGACGGCACAGGCAGTGCATGAGCAGGCCGGAGGTGAAACAACGCACGAGACAGCCTGCGAAACAGCACAGAAGGAACATCGATACCGAAAGCTAGCAGCAGAAACCAAGGTGCCAGAACCAGGAACGACCCCAAGCGCCTCTACATCCTCCGCAAGCCAATCCTATGACAGCCCCAGGAGGGAAAAGAAACGCAGGACCAAATCCAAAATGCCACAAGCGTGCAATTCCACCGCCACAAGTGCAGCCGACAGGGAAGGAATCCGCACAAGGAGCCGCCCCGCACCAACATCCCACAGAAGGGCAGGAGCGAAAAGACACTCATTAAGAGGAGCAAAATCACTCCCAGGAAAACGAGCAGCGCCGAGACAGCACTAAGAGAGAAGATATGAACAAGAAGAACAAAAAGGCCAAACACCCAGAAGCTGCCTGGAATAGGACCCACAAGCCATAGAAAGGACCGGAGGGAAGCCCAGCCGAACGACGACAGACGTACCAGAAAACGGAAAGGAGCAAAACCGTCCCGAACCTTCGAGAACAAAAAGAAGCAAACAAGTCACAGTACTGAGACAAGACCGGAGCTGGAGCCACACGACCATGCACTATCCCATCAGCCGAGGAACTGGGGCGGGGATCGCCGGTGAGGGGGTCTGGGGCTCCCCCTTCCCCCTCCCGGGGAGGGGAGAGTTGCGCAGACATGCGGCACGGCTCGTGTGATGTCATGCTTGTTAGTTCGTTTTTCTGGGGGAGTTCTGTCCACTCGTTTGTCGATTTTTGTTGTTAACCAGAATAGTGGTTTGTTTTGTGGCGCTTACCTTTCTGGGTGCCTGTCCCGGTCGATGGCAGATATAGAATGCTCCAAATCACATGTGCAATTCCATGAGCCATTGCTCCCCGTGCCTCTCTGAGGGGGCCAGGTTTTGGCTCGTGGTCCCCGGTAGGCCTAGAACTCCACCCACATCGATTGATGCAAAATAGTTAGGGTATCCATATCAGCCATGGATAGCTCCGGGGAGCCGTAGGAGCTCCCCCCAGAAAAAGAAAATGTAACACTGCAACCATATTTTCCAGCATATAAGATGACATTTTGCAAGGATATTTTGTGAAAAAAAATCTTTAGCATCAGACATTTATAGAAAGCAATTTTAAGTTGCTTTGTAAGAGAAAACGTATGATTTTGTACAACATACAGTATATCCATTTGGTGGTGGACAAAAAAAATAACATCCTTTATCTGCAGGAAAATATGGTACTCTATGAAAAAATTTAAATTCTTACCTTAATTTTATCTAACCAAACATCTGACAAGACAACAAACATGGCATCCTTATTCTCCTGCTCGGCTTGCTGGAGTCGGGGAATATTTTTAGAGCATACGGTTCCATGGCCACCAAAATAGTTGATGTTACCTATTAGTGCCCTGTGGAAATAAAGCACACTCAATTTAAGCAAATACTGTAAAAGGAATATACAGAGAATAAGTCAAAATTAATACACAAACCCATACATATCTTTTACTTCTAACCTACTCTATTTTCACATCACATCACTTTTCTTGCCTTACAATGATTCTCTCTCCCAGTCATCCTTAATACCACTTGATAAGGGTCCAGTTGTTAGTTTAATTCATTTATTATGCATGCTATACCGATCCTATGGGCGGTAGTGGAGAAGGTTACAATGGGCTCAGGGATAGAACACCAATTTTTTTTTTATTTAGGCAAGTTACAGTGTTCATATGCTATGCAGGCGATGAGTCACAATAGCGTGGCTGAAGCACCCACGGACTGAAACGTCGTCGTCCCTTCAACTTCTAGTGTGTGGTCTGGTCTTCATATGCTAGTTAAACAGTTGTAGCAACAATGGTTTCGAGAAAAACAACAAGTGCAGTACAGTCTCTAAACGAAGTAGCTTACATACGCAGAGTTAGTTCCATAATTTGACTTGCTTATCATGAATACCACCTCCCCCATTCAGTGGGCCATAGTGGAAAGGTTACAATCACCCACATTTACTACCTACAGCTAGTAAACTGTGGACATATGGCTAAAAAGATCTGGTACTGTAGTAGATAACTTTGAATTAATTATTTACACATTTCTTGATCATTTGTTATAGTCTCTTAATTTATGTATTTTTTCACAGTCAATACAATACAATACAATTTTATTTAGGTAAGGTACATACATACAATAAATATTTACAAGGATTGTTTAACTTATAGGTATAGCTAGTACATACAATGCCTAAAGGCACTATTACGCAAAGCGTTTCGGGCATGCAGTCCATCACATAGTGTCAAGGGGCATGTAAATAATTTTGCTGACAGTTTACTTTTGGTCAGCTCTACATCAGCAGGTAATGTAAGTCCCAGATATTGTACTTATAACCAACTCTAAGCTGAGAAGTAGTAAGGTTTCAGGATGAACAGAAATGTGAGTTCAATGTTGGTACTGCATACTGAAGTAATGGTCTCACATAGGTAGTGTGGATACTTCAAAGCTTCCTTGTTTAGATTCTTAGATGATGTTATGTTTGCTAACTGCATGTGCCTGAGGCATTCAGGGGACGTGGGTTTGATCCCATTGTACTACTTCAATATTTCCTGAACATACTGTCCTTCAAGATTTCAAAGTTGCCTGCTATACCACTTATCAGAGATACTGTACAGACTGTTCAAATACTATGTTACAAATGTATTTAAATATCTGGATGAAAGTGTGAGGCTCTTTCATCAAGCCTGACATTTTTAAATGCTTGCATTACTAGTCCACACAAAATCAAATTTTATTAAATAGTGGCCATGCTACTAATTGAGGGCTCTACTAATATTCCAGAATCAGAACTTACCTTGTTGAGCTGGGAGCCTCAGGAGGAGGCAGCCCAATAGCATTAGCATGAAGTATGCCGTCCTCGTACCATCCCTCCACCAAGACATAGCAGTTGTGTGTAAACAAACCTGAGCCAAGAGTTAAGATAAAGATGAGATCAGTAATAAGAGACAAGGTGGATGATTGCCACTTATGGAGTTCCACAAGGCTTGATACTAGTGCAACTGAAGTTCATTATATATATATAGGTGAGATAATTATCAGGAGAAAGCACAAAGCCAGTATGATTATATAGCACTTGGAAGGTGACGGTAAAATATGGCACTTATCAGAAGAAAGTGGTTGTATATAGAAATGATCTGCAACAGAGGGGGGTACAGAGTTATATGAACATGTTTGTAGATGATACTAAGCGACAAGGAAGAATAAAAGATTAAAATTATTATGTTCTTCAAAATGACCTAGACAAAATAGATCCATTAAGAAACACGTGACAAATCAGATTCAGCGTGAATACATATCACATAACAGGGTTCAGAATAAGTGAAACCAGGCCATAATCATTTAAACTTAAAACTGAAAAAGATAAATTACCAGTGTGAAATTTAGTCTTGCTAAGATCAAGATGGACAGCTCCCGTGTCATCCTCAAGGTGGTGTTGACCCTCCATCAGTTGTGTCAGCAGCCCTAATGTTACGACATCATCTAAGCGAGAGCTCGATCCCAGCAAAAACTCGACCTGTTATACACAATGAAATTACAATAAAGTGATATATTTATGAGATATTCTTTGGAGCAGGACAGCAGGATCAAATCAACTTCCAGGGTCACCCCGCCTCTCACATGCGCCTTGGGTGCCCCAGGATGCTGGTTTGCTCCCACCATCCTGCCCCAAAGATTTTTCCACATAAATTTACCTAAAAATTTCTCCTATAAAATGTATTAAGAATTTTTTTGTATTTGTCAATATCTAGCATTATAAACACATTGTTTAAACCCCACTGTGGACTGCATTTGATAAACCTTTATTACTCCCAAGGCTAAAGTTTTAAACATTATTATTAAATGAATGTCTTTTAGAATTACAGAAAACTGCATTCAATAGGCAAAACCTAAACAAATTTGTATATTCACATTTAAATCCGAATTATTTTAATTACTCTAGCCAATAGAGTATGCTATATTAAATTATTTTAATTACTCTAGTCATTATGCTCATAAATATGTAGTAGAAAAGCTGTTTGTTGTAACTCCCCTAGTGCCTTCTCTATAACAGAAAAATGTAATCAAAGTAGCTACTGTAATTTGTTTGCATAAACCCAAAATAGTCACATATGCATTACTTTATGTCAGAGAGGTCTGTATACATATTCAGTATTGTATTTTAAAGGATGGTGTCACATGATGTTATTAGGTAATACAAAATGCACAGATCTTACTATTCATATATTCTACAAAAATTTAACCAACGCAAATAAAAAGTGGTTACCATCTTAACGGTGACCACCATTCAGCGTTGGATCCATGTTACACCAACGTTGTTTACCCAGATTTGTCCGAGGGGTCAAGTATTGCACAAACACCCACATAGTAATTACACTGCAGTCAAATCTCATTACCCGGGAGCCGGTTGGCCGAGCGGACAGCACACTGGACTTGTGATCCTGTGGTCCTGGGTTCGATCCCAGGTGCCGGCGAGAAACAATGGGCAGAGTTTTTTTCACCCTATGCCCCTGTTTAAGTTTCTGTCAAACAGAATACAGAGTGTGACAGTCAATCAAGTAAGTTGTTTGTTGTTGTTTTAGATTCAGCTACTCAGAGCAAAAGTTCCAAGTAGCACAGGCTATGGAGAGCCCATAGGGAACATAAGCCCAAGTGCAGTGAAAAGCTCTATACCCCAGGGCACAGTCCTTGCACCGATGCTATTTCTTATCTTCACCTCGGATATATAGACAAAAATACTAGTCACAGCTTTGTGTCATTCTTTGCAGATGATACAAAAATCAGTATAAAAATTGCTGCTGTAGAAGACACTGAAAAACTACAGGCAGATATAAATAAAGTCTTCAATTGGGCAACTGAAAATAACATGATATTTAATGGTGATGAGTTCCAGATACCGAGGTGTGGTGGAAACAAGGAACTTAAACGAAACACAGGATACAGGACACAATCAGACCTACTCATAGAAAGAAAGCAACATATAAAAGATCTGGGAATTATGATGTCTGACGACCTGACATTTAATGAACATAACTGAGCAAATATAGCGGCGGCCAGGAAAATGACAGGATGGATTATGAGAACATTTAAATCCAGAGACTCCACAGCAATACTAATACAGTACAGTGTACTGTTTAAATCACTGGTGCTGTCCCATCATGAGTATTGCTCGGTACTCACTTCCCCATTCAGAGAAGGAGAGATCTCTGAATTAGAGGGACTACAGATAACATATATATGGCACGCATAGAAACGATAAAACATCTAAATTATTGGGACTATCTCAAAGCTCTCAAAATGTACTTTCTGAAAAGGAGACAAGAAAGGTATCAAATAATATATACAGTACATGGAAGATACTGGAGGGCTAGGTCCCAAATTTGCACAGTAGAATAACAACACACTGGAGCAAAAGGTACAGAAGGAAATGCAAAATAGAACCAGTGAGGAGTAGAGGTGCAATAGGCACGATCAGAGAGCAATGTCGTAACATCAGGGGTCCACGGCTGTTCAACACCTACCAGCAAGCATTACAAATATTGCCAGAATGAAGGTGGATGTATTCAAGAGGCACTTGGACAGGTTCTTGCAAGAAATGCCAGACCAACCAGGCTGTGGTAGATATGTGGGCCTAAGGGCCACTCCAACCAACAGCCTGTTGGACCAAGTTATCACAAGTCGAGCCTGGCCTCAAGCCGCGCTTGGGAGTAGAATCCCAAAACCCTCTCCAGGTATGTTTCAAGGGGCTGTGATATTAAGCATCTGCTACATATGGATTTGTACTAGTGATATGGTGATCTTTGTGGCCATCTCAGAGAAATGTCTATAACGCAATGAATTTCAGCCATTACCAAGAGGGCCTTTAAACAAACTGCAATATGAAATTATTTTGTCCTTAGCTGTATCTTGAGGTTATCTTGAGATGATTTCGGGGCTTAGCGTCCCCGCAGTCTGGTCCTCGGACCACGCGGACCCGTCCGGTCCTCAGACCTCGCAGATCCGCGGACCAGGCCTCCTTTTTGTTACACCCTCCCCCCCCCCCCACAGGAAGCAGCCCATAGCAGCTGTCTAACTCCCAGGTACCTATTTACTGCTATAACAGGAGCATCAGGGTGAAAGAAACATTTTGCCCATTTGTCTCCACCTCCACTGGGGATCGAACCTGGAACCTCAGGACTACGAATCTGAAGTGCTATTCACTCAGCTGTCAGGCGCCCGTCAGGCGGGATGTATAAAAAGTTCACAAAAATAAACGAATTCCAACTTGTTGGTAATCTTGTTAGGAAGATTTATATATCATTATCTAAATTTAAGTTGCACCACTATTGATACAGAGCATTAAGTTGTATCTATACATTTGTCACAATTAGATCTGTCAACATTTTTTGGCCATTTGTTGTAGTGGCTGCAAGTGTGCAGTCTGTACATGTGCAGTTATTGTTTATTCTGTTTTTTACTTGAAAAGGTGCAGCTTTGCATGTATAAAATAATAAGGCATGCAATGTTTTGAACAAAATCTTTCAACCTAGATATTTTAGATGCAAGAGAGTTGACAATCATGATGCAACTCATAACTACTAGAGGGGAAAAACATTGATGCTGGTCTGCAAGTCTCTAAACACTTAAAAAATGCAATATGTACTTACACTCAGTTTTGTATGGTTGACCAATAGCCAAGCAAACAAGACAATGCAAATAATATCAATTATAAGTCAATAAAATTCATGGATAACATCCATCACACTTTTGATTATTCACAAAGTTTGATCCTTTACCCATAGCTCTCATTCCACTCCAGTACAAAACTGTGGTAAATAAATTATTACTTAAAACTATGCTATCCAATAATAATAATTTTACAAGGAACAGAAATATCACAAAATAGTAGCTAAACCTAATTACTGATATCACTGGATTCAACTTATTTCTTGAAAACCTGGTCACTAGCATTATATGACAAAGAGTACTGGGGAGACGGGACACCACGAGCGTAGCTCTCATCCTGTAACTACACTTAGGTAATTACTTAGGTAATTACTAAATGTTTGAAGAACATTCAGTAATAATATGAGCAAACACAGCAAGTGTAGCAGCAAGTGACAAATTGTTACAGTATATACAACAGAATCTGCAGCCAGTTTGTTTCAAATTGCTGAGTCTTTGTGTTCTGTTTCCTCTGCCTTACAGCAGAACAGAAGTTAACACTGAGCGCTGCAGGCCTTCATTAATCAATACCAAGGAAAACAAACCTGAAACCTGAAATCACATACACAAAATTGACTGGGCAATACATTGCAAAATGAACAACTGAAGTATTGGGCCCATACTGTACAGTCTCAAAGAACAGCCAGTCAATTTAACTGAATATCAGCCTGTGCGAAGTGGGTGGATGCCCTGTGAAAGATGGGGGAAGGGGGTATGCTAGCTTCTCTGACCCTTTAGTAGTAACCTGTTATCTGGCGATGGTCACAGTAGCCACTAGTTACTTAACAAAAGTTAGCAGTGATTTACCTTGCAATTCTAACGATTGCTTGCTAAGTGCGTTGAGTCGGATGCCTGATGAGCTCAGAAACAAGGGTTTGATATCATACAGCCTCAATATTTACCCACTTAGTGGATTGTTTAGCTGTTTTTTTAATTATAACACGCTACTCTCTCAGTGGTGGATTGAGGTACTCTCCAATGTCTCATCACCCCTAAATTATGTGGCACGACCATATGCGAAGTTACTTGTCATGGTGGGGTTAAGATTCCATAGAGTCTGGCATATGAGCAGTGTCCTGGGTAAATCTAAGTTCTGGTTAGAGCAGCAATTGAGAGTACCCAGCTCAGAAAGTATACAAATGGGTAAAAATATTGACAAATACTGTACTTATAAAATTAAAATGATACTGCCTACCTTTATTAGGCCAAATTTCTTGTTATCTTCATCAACATTTCCAATAACTGGCTTACGAAACAAGTCATGGTTGCAAGTGCGTTGGTAAACAATGGAATATCTGAAATAAAATTACAATTCTTTTATTACATCCATGAAAATTCCCAGATAACGTCAATAGCCCAGAAAAAAAAGTTGCTTAAAGAAAAGGCTAACAAATTACTACATTCAGGTTATTACACTAGAAGTAAATGGCAAAGTAATTATGCATAAATTACTTAAAAACAACTAAGCAAAATATTACTGAAGCAATAGTTATGCTGTGTGGAAGAAGTTGAGTCGTGAGGCTGTCATGCGTAAACAGAATGGCATGATTTGCTGCTTTAAATTAAGTTATTTGTTAGGTCTCATAATTTTTATAATGCTTTGTTTAATGTCAGCAAATTGCAAATGACTACTTTTCAATTTATTCCATTTACTACAGTACTGCTATTATTTTTATTACTATTACTGTCATTAAAATACAATGTTTTTACCAATATACCACCATCCAAATTTCTTAGTTTATTGTAAATCTGTATAAACTAACCGAATAATAAATATACAAAATAAACATTTATGAATAAAGTGCTTCAATTTCAATATAAGCCAAATATTTTTTAATGTCTAAAAATGTTTGCTTGATTTACTCTTCTGTACACCAGTTCAGCCAAAATTGTAATGAATTGTATAAATTGTTATGAATGAAGTCCTCTTATCTAACTGAGCTGCTGTTTGTTACGGTTATCCAAACATGGAGATTCATGAATCAGTTTTGGATTAATGATGACGGCGCTGACCAGACCCATTTATTTTGGTTATGTGCATATTTTGTCCTCAAAAGTACTGTATGTGATATTCACAATTTGCTGCACTCAGTAAACATATGATGTAGAAGCCAATTAGTGTAAGGTGGGAGTGGGACGTTAATTTTGAATTTCTATTTACAATGCATGTACATTATTTAAACTGTTTACCTCCTTAGTGCCTTCCCTGTTGCTTCAGAGAGCCATCGCAGGGGGATGGCTCTCTAAAGGCATTTCCTGGTACAGTACTCTCTGTACCTGGAAATAAGACAAACAAACAATCAAGAGATTACCTGCCCCTGAAAACTGCAGCTTTATCTGAAGCATCTCCATGCAAGTCTCGTGCTCTTACTGGCTCCAACACAAATTTCTTCCGTTCTACATTGTAAAACAATTTTGGGACCTTGTAAATGTCTACAACTTGCAAAAGGTTTTCAATATCATCATTTTCTGCAGTACCAACTTCCTGCAACATCATCATGCAATACAGAATGGGATTTTAATGATTTTTTTTTTGCACAATGAAATCATAAAAATGTGATGAACCTACAGAAAAATATTGAGGCTGTTCTATGAGATCAAATCTGCATCCTCGGATTTCTAATTGTTTATTCGCATTGTTTTGTATTCAGACAATTAGTATGAGAGGTAAGGTTTTGTGACATGAGAGGACTGAGGCCATGGGGTATGGAAGGGATGAGGGTGGGACAATGAGTAATTCCCAAAGTGGGCAGTACTGACCCCAGGGGGTGTAAAGATTACTGTCCCCAGGGGAGTGCCAACAGTTAAGAAAAGAAGCAGAAGGGTGCTAGAAGTGAGCTCCTCACAAGCATGCTGATCACTTATACAGTATAGGTGATAAACTAGTCCAGAGCCTAGAGCTAGACTATTTTATGGAACCAAAAGGGAACAGTGGCCTGAAATAGTTAGGACATCACTGGTCATTGACATGACATATGGATGTGTGTGACATGAAGGGGCGAGACTTTTGGGCATGATAAGAGATGAAAGCATACAGCTGAGAGGGGTGAGGGCATGATGTTTTGGTCATTATATAATAATGATCTTTTTTATGAAAGGGGTAAGAGGTTTGTGGCATACTTACTCAATACCCTCAAACTTACATACATACAAACACACATTATGCAGACAGTAAACCACAATAAATGAGACACTCAACCCACACATCCAAAAATAAAGGAAGTGATGAAATTTCAGTCCATTCTGAACCATTATCAAATCGTGTAAAGAAAGTGGTAGATTAAATCAATATATAAAGTAAGAATGTGAGGTGAAAGGCAAGAAGGTAAAAAGTAAGCCACAGGAGTAATAGAAATAAAGACTACATAAGGCCTAAAGGCTAAGAGAAAATAGGTGAAATAAACATTAAAGAGAAGGGAAAGAAATAAGAGAAAAGAAAGAATGAGAGCTTAGAGGGGACTAAACTTATGTCAGATCACATTTGTTTTAAAGGTTAGAGCATCTAACTATGCATTGAGACAGGCAAGAATCAGCAGCAACAAAGCTAGGACTCTGAAATAGTAGATCACATTTTGATGGTGAAAATATGATGTACTGATCTGCATGAGCTTGGTTATCCGAAGCCTGCTGAACCGAATATTTGGGTTATCTGGCCTAAATTGTGCCCGGATAATTTTCTGGCAAAATTTTGTCATATCAATCAAGAAGACAAACTACAACATGGTAAGCAAAATTTTCTGTTTTAAATTATATTTTTTATTTAATAGTGTGTGTGTGGAAATTCAAATTATGTTGGTTGTGGTACAAAAAAAACAACTGTGAATATGGTCATTTTTGGATGTTCCCAATAAGAATTCTGCTTATATGGTGGGGGACCTTACCATATAGTCCAGATAGGTCAGCTTAGGCAACATTATAAATCAAAGCGACTCGCAAAATTGATACATGGAGCATACCTGGAGAGGGTTTCAAGAGTTATACTTCCCGAGCCTGACCTGATGTGCTGTCTTGTTTTCTATTCGTGGGTCCTTAGTTAGGTTAGGTTTGGGCAATTAAGTGCATTATTTTTGTTATGTTGTGACAACTTATGTGGATGGGCTGATCCACAACTCATTAACCCCCACCAATAACACTTACCTGAGCAGCCTTGTAAATGTCTTCCTTGGAGATTAATGTTGAACTTATTGGAAGTTTTTGAACAGCCTCTATAACTTTCTCAATCCACTCATCGTGTTCATCTTTCGGCAGTGGGTTCAGCAACTCGCACAGGTATTTGGCCCCATCACTGACACATAAAACAAAAAATTCAGCCTTGAGTTCAATGAAATGCCTCTTTCTGGTGGGTCCCCCTAAGTGGTTTCCTCAGGGTACCACCAAGGGGAATTCACTAGAAAATGGGAGACTGTTGTTTATTATATAAAGTACAAAAAACCTTGGTAACAATTAACCCAACTCATACATATGAAAATAAAAGTGATTTTCACACAAGTTTTTTAAGTCACATTATTGTGACTTATTCTCTACATAAAAACAAACTGATTTGCATTAATGCTAAGATCAAGAGTATTACCAGGTAGGTATTTACTGTGGATGAGGAGAGAGGAAGATGTGGATTTTGAAAGAGTATGTAGATTTGGAGGGAGTTAGATGTGGAGAACAAGCGTAAGAGGAAGAGAGGAGGATGTGGATTTGGAGAGAGCTGGATGTGGGGAACAAGCATAGAGAAAGAAAAGGTGGAAGATAGAAAGAGAAGGTAATGTAAATGAATGTCCTTGTAGAAAGAAGACAGGAAGAGATGCAGTAAAGAACAGCATGAAGCAGCACTAGTACATACATATATGCCCAGCAGAAAAAAACATGCTTAAGTAGCATTTAATCAATGTTGATTCATTGTTGTATTATTAAGTGAGTAAATCTGGTTTGGAAAATGTGCACTGCAACCAGATTCATCGAATCTGAATCTTACGCCAATCTTAAGTTTCTACCTGTCTCTCTTTGTGGAAACTATTGGTGAAACTATTGTGCTTTGTGACTTTGCAGAAAATTATTCTTTCCTACTACAAGACAAGGTGTATGGTTTCTTCTGGAATAATGCCCATGCCACAATTCATCCAAAATTGGTTGTAACATGTAAAATGTAATGACCTCTTCACACCTATAAATAATTATTTTCTCCAAATTATTTTAAGTTTTGCTTGAAATGCTTTGCATACTAATGGATTCATTAGCTTGTGTATCTCTTGTCCCCCACATTTGTACTCTTTATGTTCTTTGTACATATATTCTTTTGAATAAAATTGTAAATTTGTTTACATTTTGTGAAGATGGTAAGAGGATATTCTTTTGTGGAATATAGCAGTCAGCGGGAGGACGAGTCACAGCTCACACCTCATAAGCATTGTTGTAGCCTGTAGATAAGGGGAACTCTGTATATGAATTAGTACAGTAATGAGATAGTTAGCAGGGGGCATAGGCACAACTCATGTGTCGATGTAGACATGTAGAGGCTATGAAGCTAAATCTGCACTGTAGGGCGGCATAACATCTGTCTTCGTCAAGACGTGCTCCATCAAGGACATACAGTATTAAGGTTAAGCAGGTTGCTGCGAAGGCAAGTTCTAGCGGAGCAAAAGCGGGGCAATATAGGAAGAAGTATTCTATGGGTCCTTCTTGTGGGCTCCACCAGGAAGCAGATGTTATTCAACTGAAGACAGAAAGGATGGGCAGGGAATCGTGTATGACCTATAGGTAAACGTGTGAGACAAACATCGCGTATCCAGGTGTTATGACGGGACCATGGGCTGGGAGATGCATCAGAATGAAGAGTTGCCATCTGTGATGTCTGAAGTAAAGGGCCTGATTCAGACTGCTAAAGAACAGAACAGGCTCACTTGAGGGCTGGCATTTTTTATGTTGGTCAAGAGGGAGGGTTGCCAGAGATGTTAAGAAATGTGGTTTGGCCACCGCCTCATCTGCGATTTCATTCTTTCTGATACCCACATGAGCGCGGACCCACTGAAGGTGAAGATGCCAACCTGGTTCATGGTAATATGATAGGCATGTTTGGATATTGCTGATGAGTTGGCCAAAGTTTTTTGGTCTGTGAGAAACAAGGAAAAGAGTAGTCTTGGAGTCAATGAACACTACCATATCTTGGGAATGAGTGACCTGTCAAATAAGTATAAGAGCTTGATATATGGCAAGGAGTTCCCCAGCTAGGCTAGAATGATATGGGAAAAAGTTTCCAAGTTTGACACAAGGAAAGTGATTCAAAGTATGCAGCGGTTGTACTTGATTTGGGAAAGGATGTATGTGACCAATCTGCATATCGTATATCTGTAGATTTGTATATACTTTGAAGGATCCAGTGTAACAGGTTCTAACAGAGGAATACAATGCTGGATAACAGCACTGGAAATACTGCATGCCTATACATCTTCCTTTATGTGAAGGCCATGAAACTGTTCATCTTTTAATAATTCCCATTTTTTGGGAAAGAAAGCCTGTACTTAAGCTTACTGCGGTCCCCCCTAGGTCAATTACTGACCCAGGATGCAACCCACAACAGTTACCAAACACCCAAGTAAATATTTATCTACATCATAAATATCATATCTAAATATCAACACTTAAATACGTACCCAAGTACGTATTTACTGGTAGGTGAACACACACATTAGGCGACAGAAAATGTGTCTTGACAGGTTCTGTCCTGACCGGGAATTGAACCATGTCCCTCGATTGCAAGCCAAGGACATAGGCTGTTGTGCTACTGGTCCCATTGGACTTAAGGGTTTATTGATATATACAAGTTTTTACATTCTTGTAAAGCCACTAACATGTGTAGCGTTTTGGGCAGGTCCTTAATCCTAATTTCCCCGGAATACGACCCCGCCAAATCGTTTAACAACCAGGTACCCATTCACTGCTAGATAAACAGAGACTACAGTTAAGGATTGGCGTCCGGTCAATCCTCCCCAGCCAGGATTCGAACCCAACCCATAGCGCTTGCGAAACGCCAGGCAATTGTCTTACCACTGCGCCACGGACGCTAAATTGTTGTTATTGTACTAAAATGTTGGACTAAATTGTTAAATTGTATAATGCTAATTCTAATACCTATTTGAGATATCAATTTGCTTTTAAAGAATTTAAGTCATACTATGTCATTCCAATGTTTATCTGGCAAACATCTACGGGCTGAAACACTCTGAAACATCCATGGACAAACGTTTGTTCATTGTCACTGAGGATGTTTAAATCGCTATTTATAATAATATATCATTAGTAAAAAACATTAACTGGAGGTTGGATAAAGAATACGCATAAAAAATGTTAATTATATTGTCCTATAGTATTATAATTATTGAATTATTAGTAGAGTGAATTTACAATATTATACTTAGAGTACGCCGTTTACTTGCAAACCAGACAAGAATGCATGAAAAGGATATATTCTGAATTTAGATCTATCGATAACTTTGTAATACATTATACCATACAATTTTATATTACCTGCGCACCGCTAGTCCATGTAATTTAAACAAATTAACAACAAGATTCTTGACTGACATACTGAATGTTTACAAAGTACCAGCAATAAGGCGCGAGCAAACGTGATTGGCTGACGTTCTGAGGGTTCTTGACGGGAATCCGGATGCAGCTTATTTTAATTTTTATTTCACTTATTTATATATACATAATATTGTTGTTTATATGTATATATTTATATCAAATCAAATTAAATGTTTATTCAGGTAAAAAGTACATAGACACAAGATGAGCTACAAACAGAATGCTGCTGGAGAGCTAGTACATACAATGCCCGAAACGCTGCGCATACTAGTGGCTTTACAAGATTGTAATTACTACACTATATGTATCCTCCAATCCCAATGTACCTTGTTGTATATATATAAATAAATAAATAAATAAATGCCTTGTAAATGCCTTGACATTTAGAAGGCTGCTCTGGTAAGTGTTATTGGTGGGGGTTAATGAGTTGTGGATCAGCCCATCCACATAAGTTGTCAACATAACAAAAATAATGCACTTAATTGCCCAAACCTAACCTAACTAAGGACCCACGAATAGAAAACAAGACAGCACATCAGGTCGGGCTCGGGAATTATAACTCTTGAAACCCTCTCCAGGTATGCTCCATGTATCAATTTTGCGAGTCGCTTTAATTTATAATGTTGCCTAAGCTGACCTATCTGGACTATATGGTAAGGTCCCCCACCATATAAGCAGAATTCTTATTGGAAACATCCAAAAATGACCATATTCACAGTTTTTTTTTTTTTTGTACCACAACCAACATAATTTGAATTTCCACACACACACTATTAAATAAAAAATATAATTTAAAACTGAAAATTTTGCTTACCATGTTGTAGTTTGTCTTCTTGATTGATATGACAAAATTTTGCCAGAAAATTATCCGGACACAATTTAGGCCAGATAACCCAAATATTCGGTTCAGCAGGCTTCGGATAACCAAGCTCATGTAGATCAGTACTGTACATCATATTTTCTCCGTCAAAATGTGATCTACTATTTCAGAGTCCTAGCTTTGTTGCTGCTGATTCTTGCCTGTCTCAATGCATAGTTAGATGCTCTAACCTTTAAAACAAATGTGATCTGACATAAGTTTAGTCCCCACTAAGCTCTCTTTCTTTCCTTTCTCTTATTTCTTTCCCTTCTCTTTAATGTTTATTTCACCTATTTTCTCTTAGCCTTTAGGCCTTATGTAGTCTTTATTTCTATTACTCTTGTGGCTTACTTTTTACCTTCTTGCCTTTCACTTCACATTCTTACTTTATATATTGATTTAATCTACCACTTTCTTTACACGACTTGATAATGGTTCAGAATGGACTGAAATTTCATCATTTCCTTTATTTTTGGATGTGTGGGTTGAGTGTCTCATTTATTGTGGTTTACTCTCTGCATAATGTGTGTTTGTATGTATGTAAGTTTGAGGGTATTGAGTAAGTATGCCACAAACCTCTTACCCCTTTCATAAAAAAGATCATTATTATATAATGACCAAAACATCATGCCCTCACCCCTCTCAGCTGTATGCTTTCATCTCTTATCATGCCCAAAAGTCTCACCCCTTCATGTCACACACATCCATATATGTCATGTCAATGACCAGTGGTGCCCTAACTATTTCAGGCCACTGTTCCCTTTTGGTTCCATAAAATAGTCTAGCTCTAGGCTCTGGACTAGTTTATCACCTATACTGTATAGGTGATCAGCATGCTTGTAGGGAGCTCACTTCTAGCACCCTTCTGCTTCTTTCCTTAACTGTTGGCACTTCCCTGGGGACAGTAATCTTTACACCCCCTGGGGTCAGTACTGCCCACTTTGAGAATCACTCATAGTCCCACCCTCATCCCTTCCATAACCCGTGGCCTCAGTCCTCTCATGTCACAAAACCTTACCTCTCATACTAATTGTCTGAATACAAAACAATGCGAATAAACAATTAGAAATCTGAGGACGCAGATTTGATCTCATAGAACAGCCTCAATATTTTTCTGTAGGTTTATCACATTTTTATGATTTCATTGTGCAAAAAAAAATCATTAAAATCCCATTCAGTATTGCATGATGATGATGTTGCAGGAAGTTGGCACTGCAGAAAATGATGATATTGAAAACCTTTTGCAAGTTGTAGACATTTACAAGGTCCCAAAACTGTTTTACAATGTAGAACGGAAGAAATTTGTGTTGGAGCCAGTAAGAGCACAAGACTTGCATGGAGATGCTTCAGATAAAGCTACAGTTTTCAGGGGCAGGTAATCTCTTGATTGTTTGTTTGTCTTATTTCCAGGTACAGAGAGTACTGTACCAGGAAATGCCTTCAGGGATCCATCCCCCTGCGATGGCTCTCTGAAGCAATAGGGAAGGCACTGAGAAGGTAAACAGTTTAAATAATGTACAAGCATTGTAAATAAGGAGGGGAAAATACATAGAAATTCAGAATTAACGTCCCACTCCCACCTTACACTAATTGGCTTCTACATCATATGTTTACCGAGTGCAGCAAATTGTGAATATCACATACAGTACTTTTGAAGAAAAAATATGCACATAACCAAAATAAATGGGTCTGGTCAGCACCGTCATCATTAATCCAAAACTGATTCATGAATCTCCATGTTTGGATAACCGTAACAAACAGCAGCTCAGTTAGATAAGAGGACTTCATTCATAACAATTTATACAAATCATTACAATTTTGGCAGAACTGGTGTGGTAAAGTAAAGAGTAAATCAAGCAAACATTTTTAGACATTAAAAAATATTTGGCTTATATTGAAATTGAAGCACTTTATTCATAAATGTTTATTTTGTGTATTTATTATTTGGTTAGTTTATACTTATTATTTATTTATTTATTTATGCATATACAAGAATGTACATAAGGAATGTGAGGATACAATTATGGTAATTACAGTCTTGTAAAGCCACTAGCACGCGCAGCGTTTCGGGCAGGTCCTTAATCTAAGAAAATTTTAAGGAGGTAAATACTTGCAAAATTTATAGACAAAAAAATGATAACAGATTACATGGAATGAAAAAAAAAAAAAAAAAAGATGAGAGAAAATTATAGGTACAGTATATTAAAGCACATAGGTAGCTATGATTGATTGCAATGACAGCTTAAAATGGTAGTTGACAACAAATTGGTAGGCACAATACAGCAGAAACAATATAAGATTGATTGCAATGACAGCTTGAATGGTAGTTGACAAAAATTGGTAGTCACAATACAGCATATGGCTAGCACATAAAAGAAGACAGCAATGAACACAATGATAAGGTTGTTTGATATTACATAAAAATTAGGAGACACAGATTTACAATAAACTAAGAAATTTGGATGGTGGTATATTGGTAAAAACATTGTATTTTAATGACAGTAATAATAATAAAAATACATAATAGCAATACTGTAGTAAGTCGAATAAATTGAAAAGCAGTCATTTGCAATTTGCCGACATTAAACAAAGCATTATAAAAGATATGAGACCTAACAAGTAATTTAATTTAAAATGGCAAATCATGCCATTCTGTTTACGCATGACAGCCTCATGACTCAACTTCTTCCACGCAGCATTACTGTTGCTTCAGTAATATTTTGCTTACTTGTTTTTAAGTAATTTATGCTTAATTACTTTGTGCCATTTACTTCTAGTGTAATAACCTGAATGTAGTAATTTATTGACTTTATCTGGGAATTTTCATGGATGTAATAGAAGTATTGTAATTTTATTTCAGATATTCCATTGTTTACCAACGCACTTGCAACCATGACTTGTTTCGTAAGCCAGTTATTGGAAATATCGATGAAGATAACAAGAAATTTGGCCTAATAAAGGTAGGCAGTATCATTTTAATTTTATAAGTACAGTATTTGTCAATATTTTTACCCATTTGTATATTTTCTGAGCTGGGTACTCTCAATTGCTGCTCTAACCAGAACTTAGATTTACCCAGGACACTGCTCATATGCCAGACTCTATGGAATCTTAACCCCACCATGACAAGTAACTTCGCATATGGTCGTGCCACATAATTTAGGGGTGATGAGACATTGGAGAGTACCTGAATCCACCACTGAGAGAGTAGCGTGTTATAATTAAAAATTAGCTAAACAATCCACTAAGTGGGTAAATATTGAGGCTGTATGATATCAAACCCTTGTTTCTGAGCTCATCAGGCATCCGACTCAACGCACTTAGCAAGCAATTGTTAGAATTGCAAGGTAAATCACTGCTAACTTTTGTTAAGTAACTAGTGGCTACTGTGACCATCGCCAGATAACAGGTTACTACTAAAGGGTCAGAGAAGCTAGCAGATCCCCTTCCCCCACCTTTCACAGGGCATCCACCCACTTTGCACAGGCTGATATTCAGTTAAATTGACTGGCTGTTCTTTGAGACTGTACAGTATGAGCCCAATACTTCAGTTGTTCATTTTGCAATGTATTGCCCAGTCAATTTTGTGTATGTGATTTCAGGTTTCAGGTTTGTCTTCCTTGGTATTGATTAATGAAGGCCTGCAGCGCTCAGTGACTTCCAGGACGAGCGTGTGTCTTGTTTTCCGACCGTCCCCCGCGGTCGCTTGTCCCTCGATAGAATTCTTGGCGACTCAGATACTTTTGATATCGTTCGCCTTATGCGTTTCTGTTCTCGTATTGGCATCCTTCGTGATATTTAGCGCCCTCTGATTATCCCGCGCATTTGATGGTGCTACATAGCCTTCCCGGTTTGGTGCCTTCTATTGATAATTGCTTACTTACTGCACAGCTAGTTTTCACCTATTGTAATGAGGGGGGGGGGGGGGAAGGGGTTTCGCCTGGGTACGTTGGCCTCGTGCGTTTTTTTTATTTTGCTTTTGTTTCCCTGCCTGGTGGTGGGGGGAGGGGGTCTACCTTTGGCTGATTGCCCCTATCTATGCTTGGGGTTTTTATCTAGACCTTTTATCAGAGTGCTGCTAAATGTATATATATATATATATGTATATATATATATATAAAACAAAATATTTATACAGGTAAAGTACATACATACAGGGTGTGATACAAATATTGATGAATTTATAGATAAAGCTAGTACATACAATGCCTAAAGCCACTATTACGCAAAGCGTTTCGGGCAGGAAAACACTAAAGACTAAAACTTAACACTTTCGCGCTTTAGATTAGAGATAACTCGTCGCCGTTTTCTCTTACGATTCCGCATAACAGCCTACTTTTCTCGTCCATCGAAAAAATATTTCTATAAATTCCATTTTTTAACCGAAATGGATGGGGATACTTTTGTTTTGTAGAGAATTTATTTGCGAATGTTTTGGTACCAGAAAGAATATTATATCACATAAACTTCTATGAGTAAAAAAAAAATACACAAAGTATGTTTGGGGGTGTGGCGAGCGTGTGGCAGTGGGTTCCCTTTAGCCGTTGATATATCCAACACGTGGGAAATATTTGTATGTGTTATGTATATGTTTGTGTAGGGAATTTTACTGCGATCACTGTCATACAAATTATAAAATGTTTCAACAAGTATAAACATGACAAACATCAAACGAACGAAAACAATGCGTTCGTTTCTGCCGCGAACGCATACTGAGCGACGTGGTTCTATATTTGGCGCTTCTCTTACACATGCTTTGTACAAATGTTATACAGTTTATCTTATAGAAAATTTTATTGCGAACACATTGGTATAAAAAAGAAATACGTACATAGAAAAGTAGGGTCAGGAAACGTATAAACTTTCCAAGCATGATTTCCCCCCTGTGTTTTCGCCAGTGCGCTCGCGGCTAACTACTCTCCACTTCACACACTCTTGCGGGTGGGCAATTACCTATATTAAACATTCATATGCATATGTCCGTGTAGAGAATTTTATTGCGATTCCAATGATACCAAAATTAGCGATGTAGGACAACTGTAGGCTTCGCAACCATTAAGAGAGTGGAAACATTTTGTTGCTGTTTGGCGCTCTCGGCGAGTGATCTGCATAGTTTTTTATTTGGTGTTGATACTCCTTATGCTTGGGCGGCATTTTATAGGTATGCTCTTATAGACAATTTCATTGCGAACACAGTGATACCAAATTTAAATACGTGCGCCTTCAATTATTGTCAGGACAGTTAAAAGAGTGTACACTTTTCGGTCTTACCGCGTAGGCGCGCGAAGTGCCGAAAGCATCTGGGGTATTGTTTTTTTTTGAGCGCCGAGTGCGCGAAAGTGTTAATACTAATTGAGATTAAAGTATAAAATGTGTTGAGAAAATATAAAAATAAAGAAGGGGGAACATGGCAGAATAACAGCAAAAAATACAAATTGGTCGACAAACAGCATTGTTAAAAAAAAAGCAGACATGGGTTGGCATTATAGGGGTAAGGTAGGTTGCAGGGAGTTAATTAGGTAGTGCTTAGTTTTTATCTTAAACTGGTTGGGAGAGCTACAGTCTTTAACATGATTGGGAAGGTCATTCCACAATCTGGGTCCTTTGATTTGTAGAGCATTTCTACTTTGATTAAGTTGTATTCTTGGAATATCAAAAAGGTATTTGTTTCTGGTGTGGTGCTCATGGGTTCTGTTACAACCTTCAATGAACAAATCCACAAAGGCCGTGATGAAGATTCGAACCTGCATCCGGAAGCATCCCAGACACTGCCTTAATCGACTGAGCTACGACAGGGTAAGAGAGTTTAAAAAAAACTTTCATATTATGTGAATAGATTCAATGAAGCAAAAGGCAACATGAAAAGTACATGGAAAACCATCTCTAGTATCCTAGGAACTAAACAACACTCACATAACCAAATAAAACTATAAGGATGGGTATACACCGTCAACTGATTTAGAAATGGCAAATGAATTTAATAGCTTCTTTTCATCGGTTGGTGTTAATCTTGCCAGAAAAATCCCACAGACTCAGACACATATTAACACATATCTCTCAGGCAGCTATCCAAACTCTCTTCTCCTTTCACCAGTCAGCCCGGCAGATGTCGTGTCCATCATACATTCTCTAAAAACCAAGGTAGTGAACACCAGTGAAATTCCGTCCATTGTATACAAGAGAGCCTCCCATGCCCTTGCGCCACCCATAGCTCTACTGTTCAACAAATCTATAAAGTGTCACACCTTCCCTGATATCCTTAAAAAAGCAAGAGTAATGCCAGTCCTTAAAGGAGGCAATCCGGCGGACATAAACAATTATAGACCAATATCAAATCTACCCATTCTATCAAAAATATTTGAAAAAATTATCTACAAACAGCTCTATTCCTACCTCATAAAATTCGACATACTCAGCCCCTGCCAGTTTGGCTTCCGGTCCCAAAAGAGCACCAATGATGCAATCATTAGTCTCCTTGATGTAATCTACTCAGCCCTTGACAAAAATGAGTTTCCGATTGGACTCTTCATTGACCTAAGAAAAGCCTTTGATACTGTTAATCACAACTACCTCTTACTTAAACTCCAGCATTATGGAATCCGAGGCCTTGCCCTGGACTATAGCCAATCCTATCTTAGTGACAGACACCAATGTGTAACCATCAATGATACAACCTCTTCCACTCTACCAATAACCGTTGGAGTGCCACAAGGCAGCATCTTAGGACCCTTCTATTTCTTATATATATCAATGATCTGCCTAATGTCTCTAATATTCTTAAACCTATATTGTTTGTTGATGATACTACCCTCATCTATTCAGACCCCAACCTACATACACTAAATAATGTTGTGAATAATGAACTAAAAAATGTCCACTTATGGATGTCAACTAAGAAACTAACACTAAACATAGAAAAGACCTACTACATCTTATTTGGAAGCAAATCATCGAATGCAATTCAGCTACAGATAGACAACATTAACAACAGTATTAAAAATGATGGAAAGTTTCTTGGCCTATTCCTAGACAAGAGACTCAACTCCAGCACCTACATTCAACACATAACTAAGAAAGTCTCTAAAACAGTTGGTATACTCTCCAAAATAAGATATGTTCCTAACTCTGCTCTCCTCTCACTATATTATGCACTAATTTATCCCTATCTTAATTATGGTATCTGTGCATGGGGGTCTACCACTGCAAACTACCTTAAGCCTATCATCACCAAGCAAAAATCTGCTATCAGAATGATAACAAACTCTGCTTTCAGACAACACTCAGCTCCCTTGTTTAAATCCCTTAATTTGCTAAATATTAACTCCCTCCACACATTCTCTTGTGTCAACTACATTTACAAAACCCTGTTCTTAAATGCAAACCATGCTCTGAAACTCTCCGTGGACAGATGTAATAGGACCTCTTATCACCACACCAGAAATAATTATCTCTGATATCCCCAGGGTCAAACTTAATCTGTGTAAACACTCTATGTAAATTAAGTGACCTAGTCTATGGAACTCACTCCCTAGTGAATTGAAAAGCTGTCAAACTTTTGCCTTATTTAAAAACCAAACCAAAAAGTACCTAATTTCATCTTTGTAGTTTTCTACACTGAGCTTTAAATTTGCTCTGAATCTAGTGCTACCCAATCTTTATGTACTTAATCCAAACAACTTTATCATTGTGTTCATTGCTGTCTTCTTTTATGTGCTAGCCACATGCTGTATTGTGCCTACTAATTTTTTGTTAAACTACCATTCAAGCTGTCATTGCAATCAATCTGAGCTACCTATGTGCTTTATTAATATACCTACAATTTTTCTCTCATCTTTTATTTTTTTTCTTGCTATGTAACTTACAATTTTTATAAATTTTGCAAGTATTTACCTACTTAAAATTTTCTTAGACTAAGGACCTGCCCGAAATGCTGCGCGTACTAGTGGCTTTACAAGAATGTAATTACTATGCTATGTATCCTCACAATCCCAATGTACCTTCTTGTATATATATACAGTATATATATAAATAAATAAAATAAATAAATAAGTTGAAACCGAAGTTCTACTGAACTTACTGGATCTCGTAGCCTCTCCGAGGCACAAACCAGGATTTTACACAACTCCCCCCTGCACCCGAGCTATGTCAATAGGCCGTTCTCCCTCTTCGCCCTTACATCATTACACACAGAGATCACACTAACGTGATGCATCAAATAAACAAATCCACAAGGGCCGTAACGAGGATTCGAACCTGCGTCCGGGAGCATCCCAGACACTGCCTTAATCGACTGAGTTACGACAGGGTAAAAAAAAAAAAAAGAGTTAAAACCGAAGTTCTACTGAACTTACTGGATCCTGTAGCCTCTCCGAGGCAAAACAAAATGACTAAACAAAAAAATGTACAAATAATATTTATTTATAAAAAATACATAAGGGGTATAATCACAGCATAAATTATATGTATATTTATATATTTTAAAATGCCACTAATCATGTGCAACACAATATAAAACTTCAAAATAAAGCATTATCAAAAGAAAGCAAGCCTGGGAAACTATTTAGTGCCACCTGTGGCAAAAACAATAAAAAGGTCCTAGATTTATTCAAGATGCCAATTTAAGAGTGAAAGTATATAAGATATATACACAATGTAGGACTGAGAACAGGAGATGCATACGAGTCACAATAATGTGGATAATGATATGCAGACTAAGCCACACACCAGAAGATGAGGAGACAATGACGTTTCAGTCCCTCCTGGACCATTAACAAGTCGATTGTGTTGATAATGGTCCAGGGATGGACCGAAACGTTGTCTCATCTTCTGGTGTATGGTTTAATCTTCAACAGGAAAGGATTTTTCACCCACAGAGTTACAAGCCCATGGGACCGCATAACCGCTGAAGCTGTAAATGCCAAAACTATCAAATTTTAAAGTACAACTGGAAAAGATCATCAGGACAAATGAGGAGATCTTTGACAAGCTGCTGGGTTCCTGTCCTCGTTGAGGCCACTAGTATTAATGACTCCGAAGTAAATTCAGGTAAAGACGAACAATGACAAAAGTATTAAATTCACCAGGGATTTTATTGAGGGACAAGCAACTCAAAGGAACACGGGAAAAGAGAGAACTTCAAAGACATGGTAGTCTGGTGGGGACTAATGTTAAAAAAAAAAAAAAAACCTAAAAAGAGGATTGGAAAAACACGTTTTAACAAGTTGAAAAACAACCTCATTGTTAAATCAGAGGTAAAGGAAGCCATACAAATAGTAGTTATCAGAAGGCACCATTACAAAGAGCTATACTGAAAGAGGTGGTATAAAATACCAAACAAATCATTTAGAAAATAGGACCAGCAATAATTGTATGATCACCTGGGAGGTGCACACAGGACACAACTTATGTGGATAAGGGACCTCATAGCAGACAGAACTGAAGAGAACTAGAGGTGTGTCACAGGGATCAGTGCTTGCTCCAGTAATAGTTTTTGCCAATGACTAATAAAGTAAAAAAAAATGGTTAAATTAATATGTTCACAGATGATGTAAAAGTATCCAAGCAAACCAAAGCTCAGAGATATGCTGAAGGATACTGCTAACTTGGCCAGACTGCATAACTGAATGAATGATGGCAGCTGGAATTTAAAGTGAAAAAATATCATCCATTCAATTGGATTATAGTTTTTCCACAGTATCCCACAGTCAGGGACAGGAAGCCCTATGCCATAGGCAAACTACTGACCTTCCCACGGATGTAACCCATAACAGTGTTCTAACTCCCAGGTACCTATTTACTGCTAGGTCAACAAAGGCATCAGGTGAAAGATAACATTGCCAAAGTATGTCTGTCCTGCCACAGCAACTGCACCTTGATCCATTTGGTTCTGACTCAACTGAATTTATCTAATCTTTGCAATACAGTAGCAGTCTAATGAAGTTTAACAGGATGATGGACCTAGGAATGATTGTTACAAGCAATGTCTCCACAAGGCCATATAAATCGGAGTAGGGTCCCAGGTGTACAGCCGGGTTTGTTCTCAAATTGCAATCAATAATTCCTGGTTTGAGTTCAGTTCGGGACAGAAATGGTCGGGCAAGTTTCCTATCATTCAATGCCCCTGTTCACCTAGCAGTAAATAGGTACCCATGAGTTAGTCAGTTTATTGTGAGGTTGCATCCTGGGGAGGACCTTGATATAAGCCTAACATGTACTGTAGGTATAAACTGGCTACCTATCCCCTGACAAAATGAATTATCATTAGAATTAAATGGCAAAGATCACAGGGCTTTTGTAAATTAGGTAATCTCCAGATTATGTTTAAAAGTGTCCTACAGAGAATTGGTCACTTAAATTCTTGTAAGAAGTGCCAGACCAACCAGGCTGTAGTGGATATGTGGACCTGTGGGCCACTAAGCAACAGCCTGTTGGACCAAGTTATCACAAGTCTAGCCTGGACTCGGGCCGGGCTCGAGGAGAACTACTCCCAGAACCCTCTCCAGGTAAATGGCATCCCAGAATCTGGGCCAGGGTTCATCAAGCACTTATGCAAACACTTATGAAACCTGTCGGTAAATCTTTCAACAATCATGGTGGCTTTGTTTGCATTTATTAAACAATTTATAAGCTTTATAACAATACCCGTAATAACCTTGGGGTATGTTGTTTCCAAGCTCAAAGTAAGTAATTATCAAAAGAAGGCACCAAACTGGGAAGGCTATGTAGCAACATCAAATGTGCGGAATAATTAGAGGGCGCTAAATATCACCAAGGATGCCAATACGAGAACAGAAACGCATAAGGTGAACGATATAAAAAATATCAGATTCAACAAGAATTCTATTGAGAGACAAGTGACTGCGAGGGGGGGTCGGAAAGCAAGACACACGCTCTTCCTGGAAGTCAGGACATTCAACAAGGATATGCACGACGATAAGAGGGACAATGCAATTTGGACAATAAGGATCTGGGCGGCGCTCCATTAAGTGACCGTGAGTTAAGTGAGTTTGACCAAGACGCAACCGTGCTAGAGCCGTTTCCCACCGCCGGTTACGGTGGCAGGAGGAAGGCCCTGGGGACACACAACTCTTAAGAGTACGCAATTTGTTACCAACAACAGAAGACCAACGGGCAAGGACGGAGGAACGAATAACAGGATAAAAGTCATAATTAGGAATACCTTTACAGGAAATGGGACAAGAACGGATAGCCTCTCTAGCAGTAGCATCCGCACGCTCATTTAAAGAAACACCAACATGGCTGGGAACCCAGCAAAACTCCACAGATTTAAATTTACTAGAGATAAGAAACAGCCAATGTTGAATCTTGACGACAATGGTATGGACAGGATTAAAGGACCCGAGAGCCATAAGGGCACTACGAGAGTCAACGACAATCACAGAGGAGGATTGTCAACGAGAAAGCAGGAGACGGAGAGCATGGAGAATAGCATAAAGCTCCGCTGTTAAGATGCTAGTCTCCGAAGGAAGGCGACACATATAAGTGCGGTCAGGAAAAACAACGGAGTAGCCCACACCGTCCACGGACTTAGACCCATCGGTGAAGGTGGAAACAGAGCGGGCGTGTGAAGAAAAGTGCTCAAGAAAAAGGCATTTCAGAACCATAGGAGAAGTAAAAGCTTTAGTAATGCGGTTCAAGGATGTACAAAACTTCGGAAGGGGGACCCTCCATGGGGGCAAGGAAGGAACAATACAAGGAGAAATATGAGAAAGACGAATGGAAAGAGACCTGTAAGCGAGATAGCCAGACAGAAAGAGGGAGGTGGTGAAGAGGAACAGGAGCTACAGGAGGGGTAAAAGTCAAAGCATGATCCAAGCTCATAAAACTCTAATAAATGTAATCAAAGCGACCATGATTGTTGAAAGATGTACATATTTTATAAATGGTTGCATAAATGTTTGATGAATCCTAGCCTTGAACAGTTGACCTATGAAGACAGGTTAGATTTCTTAAAAGCTGCCCAAACTGAAGGTAGAACAAAGTTGTAATGACTGGTATATAAAGTAAATTATAGCATTTATTTTTACTAAGCTAAAGGTTTTGTTTTAGTTAAAATATCAGTTTGTTTTATTTTTGATAATTTTAATGTTTAATTTGTCAGTGTTTGCAAACAAGTTAAATTGTGTAAAAAAAATTCCCAAGCATCAGCAGAATGATAGGGACAAAGGTACAGGATCAAGAACCACCGATTCATATAAAAATGTGTGTGTGATTATTTCCTGTAACCAAAATTAAGTACTGTAATTGCACACATACATATATATATTTATACATATATACAAATTTGCTTTGTGTTAAAAGTTTATATCAATATAAAAACTCATTAGCAAATATCCATTGCCATGGACAAATAAAATGCTTCAGTGGTAAAGCCGGAGAGTGGTGGGAACCACCACTTAACATCGTTAATAGCAAGCAAAGTACATTTGTGGATTTTATATCATTCATACATAGTAATAAAAAATCAAGAGGAAAACTGCATTTTTTTTTTTTGTTCTTCAGTTATTTTGTAATTTTTCATACACTGTGCATGTTCTGAATATTTTAGCTATTATTTTATATAAATATTTCCAGGTTTTATTTAAATCTTTCAAACATTATAACCTACATAAATATATTTCTTTTTTTTTTAGAGGATAAATTTTTTCAACTGGTGACAGGAGTAGTTGGAGCCGATTTCTTGCGGAGTTTAAAATCTCCTTTCCGAATGTCGGCCAACAAGCGATCAACAACACAACTTCCACTATCCTCCAGTGGAGGCAGGGCAGAGCCTCTTTTTCTTAAAGGTACACCTGATGCTTGAGCTTTGGCACGTTCCTCATCCTGGCGACGTCGTTCTTCCTCTAGGTGCTTTTTGCGCTCTTCTCTTTTTCTCCTACTTTCATTTTCCTGAGAAATATGTAATATTAATATAATGTATACTGAACTTTTCATGTTTAACTCCAAAGTACAGTAGAGTCTACTCAATTTGTTGAGTCTACTGTACTCCAAAATACAGTATATATATAAAATCTACTTTTATATATATAAAATAAACTTTTTGTTACATTTAAAACTTCTCAAAATATTACACATGTTACTGGTTTTGGAAGAATATACTTTTCAGTTACCAAAATTTCCACTAACACAATCTATTGCACCTTCTTGTGTGTTTATGTACCCAGTGTGTGTGTGTGTATATATCTATACTGTATTATAATATCTCTGTCCAAAGTTGGAAGCCAGATTCCAGATACCTCACCCTAATTGCTAGAGGAAATGGTCTGGGGTATGGGTTAAACATAGGCTGGTTGGGGTCACCAGAATTCAAAAGGGAACATCATATCAGGGTCACATTAAACCCCCCACGACGATTTTTGACACTGTCCGCCAGCTGCACAGAAATTTCCTCTCCCTCACTTCCGACACAATGAATTATACAGTACTGTATTATTATTTAAAGCAAGTTATTATTTGTTTTATTTCTTTAAGATTTAACATATATTACCTTTCTTCTCATTTAGTAATGATTCATTATAATTGTTATCTGAATTATTCAAAGTTTTACCTGAAATGCATTGTGTAATACAGTAGTGGCTTCATTTTATGTGAAACCCCTGTACCAACAATTGTATCTTTGTCTTATGCTCTTTGTATGCACATTCTTATGAGTAAATTATTATTATTATTAATTATAATTTATTATTACTATTTTTCATTTGGGGGGGGGGAAGGGTGGAGGTAAGTATAAGAGAAGATATGGGTTCTGTAGCACAGTGGTCTAGGTACTCTGTTCTCAACCTAGGAACCTTGGTTCAATTCCCAAACCGGACAAAATTGAAATGGACACGTTTTCTTTCATACGATGCATCTGTTTGCCTAGAAGTAAACTAGGTACCCAGAAGTAAGGCAATTGTTGTGGGTTGCATCCTGGGAAAGGACAAATGTCTTCCAGTCCCTGACAACAAATTATTTGCAAGTCATACAGATATACACATACAAAGTAATTACACTTATGGTACAAACCTTCTTGGCATCGATAACCTTGGTGTTGAGTGTGTGGAAGACTCCAACACAATCCTCCAGACGAAATTTTGACTCATCCTCACAAAAGTATTGAGCTAATTTGACTCGTGAGCGTTCAATTTCCTGTAAACTAAGCTCAAGATCCTTTATCACCTCCTCAGCCTTCAGTGTGAAATCTGTTAAATGTAAACAAACGGAGTTACTATCACTATAACTACAGATTTGTAATAATTTTGTAGACTATGCCTTACAACATTATCACTAACACTTTGGTTGACCGACATTCTGTGCGTTCCTGACCGTAAATGATCTGTTCCACCCAGGCAGCTCATGGGTCTCACAGCAATGCAATAAGTGTTTACAATCATTTTACATTTTGAGAGCCATCACCCATTGTCAGGATAATTGCACTTTAAGCTGCACTTACCCCACAGGTGCAGCTGGAAGTGCAATTGTCCTGACAATGGGTGATGGCTTATATTTTGAGTGGCGAAGTCTGCCTGAAACACTATGCGTGCTAGTGGCTTTACAAGAATGTAAAATCATCAATGCTATGAACTCTCATAAACTCAATGTACCTTCTTGTATATAGATAAATAAATAAGTAAATAAATACATAAATAAATAAACAAACAAGCAACTGGGTCTCCTTCCTTCAGACCGAACTATTTCAACACAAGCATATGTCATTCTTCTGATCATTTGTGGAGTTCAAGCAGATCTCTTTGTAAGGCCTCAATATAATTTTCACTTCTCATGTTACAATAAATTTTAGTGTCATCTGCAAATCTGATGGTGTGGTTTGTAACATTCTTATCTGTTCATTGATGTATATAACAAAAAGAGTTGGCCCTAAAAAAATGAACCCTTGTGGTACCCCACAAGGGTTTCCCAAGGTGTGCCCCAAGGTGTGCCACAAGGGTGCCCCAAGGTGTGCCACAAGGGTGCCCCAAGGTGTGCCACAAGGGTACCCCAAGGTGTGGATGTTAGAGGGGCTGGTCCCAAACCTGCACACAGAAATAACATCACATGAGACCAGAAGACATGGCAGGATGTGCAGAATACCCCCGTTGAAGAGCAAAGGTGCAACAGGTTCTCTGAGAGAGAACTCTATCAACATCAGAGGCCCGAGACTGTTCAACACACTTCCGCTACACATAAGGGGCATAACTGGCCGACCCCTCACAGTGTTCAAGAGAGAACTGGATAAGCACCTCCAAAGGATATCTGATCAACCAGGCTGTGACTCATACGTCAGGCTGCGAGCAGCCGCGTCCAACAGCCTGGTTGATCAGTCCAGCAACCAGGAGGCCTGGTCGACGACCGGGCCGCAGGGATGCTAAGCCCCGGAAGCACCTCAAGGTAACCTCAAGGTAGGTACCCCACTTACCACATTTCTCCAGTCAGATTCATTCCCATTTAGCATGACCCTTTATTTTCTTTGTTTTAACCATTGTTTTATCAATTCTTGTATTCTAACATTTATTCCATGTGCCTTGTAATTTCCTTGCTAGTCTTTCATGTGGGACCTTTGTCTAAAGTTTTAGCAAAGTTCATGTAAACTACATCTACCAGAAGTCCTTTGTCTGAATAGCTGGTTACCATTTCCAAAAATGTGAGCAGGTTTGTAAAATAGGATCTATCTTTAACAACCACTATGTTGCTTTGATATTACTAGATTGTTCTCTGAGACGGTGAATGATTCCCTCTTTAGAATTCTCTACATTAGCTTACAGATGTGTAATGTCAAGATGATCAGTTGGTAGTTTTCTGCCAAGGTCTTTCTGCATTTTTTGAAAAGGATCTACATGAACTCCACAAAGGCTCAGACGACCATTATTGAAAAATGCAAGACCTTATATATAGGGAAAGACAATATATACTACAGCTTCCATATCAAGAACTTTATTTTGCAGCAGATTTATTAGGACATGGCCCTCAATGTAATTTCCCACCAGGCAATGAAAGTGGTCATTCAGCTACAGTATACAATTTTCTCGTGCACTCTTGCCTAGATTACTAAATCCAAGCATGGAGATGTAGCTTACAAGATGACTTACTGTAATTACATTGGAAAAGATTCAGAGCAGAATGACAAAATTCATTCCAAAACTAAGTTAACTATCATACCAAGGAAGAACTGAGGCCCTTATAGCAGGGCTATAATCAATGTACCTCAACACAAGGGCTAACAGCTTCAAACTCAAGAAGCTACAATATAAGGCAAACAACAGGGGATTAGTTGTCATTTATAGGGTAATGAACACATGGAATTGCTTACCCATCAAAGGCAGTGCTTTAGTTCAAACTGAAATTGGAAAAAAATGCTATGGAATAATTCAGAAACCATTAAAAAGGAATTCTTTCAAAGACCATTAGCTTCCTGTCGCCTGTTGAGGCCACTAGAGACAGTTGCCTTCAGGTAAATTAATAGTGTATATAAATATGCTGTATCAATAAGCTATAATGCCTTCTGATTTTAAGAACATGAAAATTACTTCAGAATATCTTACCATTAAAGTGATTCTTCACATCATCTGGAGAACTCTCTAGCTTCTTGATCAGCATTGTGAGGTCTGCTCTCAGAGCTGCCACCTCACTTGTCAACCCTTCCACTGACAGCCTTAAATCAAAACGTCATAATTTACAAGAGTGGTAGTGGAAATATGTTACAGAGGCACATAGTGTGTTCAGGAACAACACTCCAAAATTTATTTAATTAAGCAAGTTACAGCACTGATAAGCTACTGTAGTTACATAACCTATTAACATAAATAAGTCAACAATATCTTCATTGTCTGTCAAACTAACATCTTGATGTGAATTTATAAAGATAAAAATTTCTTACTGTCAGAAGAAAGCAATACTTACTGCTCACAAGTCTAAGATACCATTTCCTAAGCGTAAACCTAAACATTTCCTACTGTAATCTATTTTATGAAGCATAACAAACACCTACCTGGCAGTCTTACTTAAATCACCTAGGTCCTCAACAAAGTTCAGTATTTCCAACTTTTCTTCTTCAACATTTTGAACAACATAGTGTAATAACGTCATCCCTGGTTTGTTGGCCCGTGTTTCCCATAACTTGGATATTGTATTCAGTCGAAATCCTAAAGCATTGCCTGCATAGCTGCCCTGAAAGAGTAATTAAGCCAAAAGATGACCAGTGGATATCCATAATATCATGGAATTATAACTTTACCTTACTCTTAATTAATTCTGACTTGAATATCAACAATAATGCCTAATTTAAATCAGGTTTTCCTGAAGTGAATTATCCCAGCATGCAAAAGCAATTACAGTATTAACAATAATGGATCTCTTTATAGATATCGAGAATGAGAAATGTTAAATGAACACAGAATCCTACACTGTGGACTGCCACTTCAAATTATAATTTGCAGCCAGCATTTTATCACTAATTTCATATGCATGAGATAGTATTTTTTTAAATTTTATGAGGATAACCATTCAACTTCTAAGCTATTTAAAAATCTGACATCATAATGCACATAGAAAAAACCAGCGTTGAATGTAATGAAATGCCATTTTCTGGCTGAGACTTGGAGGCTTCCCAGAACTATCCAGGCTGATATGTATATCACTAAACTTGGCATCAGTCAGAATGTGTATGGAGTTCTAGGCTTACCAGGGACCACAAGCCAGAACCTGGCCCACTCAGAGAGTCACACCAGAGAGGTCTGGTTCTTCAAGGAACCAGACACAATAAGAATTCCAGAGAACAACACAGAGCACATAGAGGTGTCTAGAGACGAAGTGGAAAAAGTGCTCAAGGCACTAAGTAAGAACAAAGCAGTTGGTCCAGATGGAGTTTCACCATGGGTTCTGAAAGAATGTGCACCTGAGCTCAGCATTCCGCTTCAGCTGATTTTTCAGACATCCCTGTGTACAGGAGTCGTAGCAGATGTGTGGAAAAAGGCTAACATAGTTCCAATCTACAAAAGTGGCAGCAGGGAAGACCCCCTCAATTATAGACCTGTATCATTGACAAGTGTAATAGTCAAAATATTGGAAAAAATAATAAAAACTAAATGGGTAGAACACCTGAGAAAGGATATAATATCAAACAGACAGTATGGTTTTCGATCTGGAAGATCCTGTGTATCGAATTTACTGAATTTCTATGATCGAGCCACAGAGATTTTACAGGAAAGAGAAGGTTGGGTTGACTGCATCTATCTGGACCTAAAAAAGGCTTTTGATAAGAGTTCCACACAAGAGGTTGTTCTGGAAACTGGAACATATAGGAGGGGTGACAGGTAAGCTTTTAACATGCATGAAAAATTTTCTGACATAGAAAAATGAGGGCAGTAATCAGAGGCAATGTATCAGACTGGAGGAAAGTCACAAGTGGAGTACCACAGGGTTCAGTTCTTGCACCAGTGATGTTCATTGTCTACATAAATGATCTACCAGATGGAATACAGAATTATATTAACATGTCTGCTGATGATGCTAAGATTACACACAGAAATCACACTAATGCTAAGATAATAGGAAGGATAAGAAACTTAGATGATTGTAATGCCTTCCAAGAAGACGTGGACAAAGTAAGTATATGGAACACCACTTGGCAAATGGAATTTAATGTGAATAAATGCCATGTTATGGAATGTGGAATAGGAGAACATAGACCCCACACAACTTATATATTATGTGAGAAATCTTTACAGAATTCTGATAAAGAAAGAGATCTAAGAGTGATTCTAAATAGAAAACTATCACCTGAGGACCACATAAAGAATGTTGTGCAAGGGGCCTATGCTACACTTTCTAATTTCAGAAATCCTTTTAAATACATGGATGGAGAAATACTAAAGAAATTGTTCATGACTTTTGTTAGACCAAAGCTGGAATATGCAGCGGTTGTATGGTGCCCTTATCTTAAGAAGCACATCAACAAACTGGAAAAGGTGCAATGACATGCCACAAAGTGGCTCCCAGAAATGAAGGACAAGAGCTACGAGAAGAGGTTAGAGGCATTAAATACTAGTATGCCAAAATTAGAAGACAGATGAAAGAGGTGATATGATCACTACGTACAAAATAATAACAGGAATTGACAAAATTGATAGGGAAGAATTCCTGAGACCTGAAACTTCAAGAACAAGAGGTCATAGATTTAAACTAACAAAACAAAGCTGTCGGAGAAATATAAGAAAATTCACTTTTGTAAACCGAGTGGTAGACGGTTGGAACAAGTTAAGTGAGAAGGTGGTGGAGGCCAAAACCGTCAGTAGTTTCAAAGCATTATATGCCAAAGAGTGCTGGGTAGATGGGACATCACGAGCGTAGCTCTAATCCTGTAACTACACTTAGGTGATTACAAGGAACAATGGCCTATAGAAATACACGTGATTTGGAGCATTCTATATCTGCCAGTGATCGGGACAGGCACCCAGAAAGTTAAGCGCCTCAAAACAAACCCCTATTCTTGTTAAAACAACGAAAATAGACAAATAAGTGGATAGAACTCCCCAAATGAAAACGATCAAACAAGTACGACGTCACATGAGCCACGCTACACCTCTGCGCAGCTCCCCCCTCCTCGGGAGGGGGAAGGGGAAGCCCCAGACCCACCGTTCTGGCAATCCAACATCCAGTTCTTAGGCTGGATGTCAAAACATACAAAAAACTGCCAACCAGGGGGAGGGGGGGAGGGGGTTGCTGGGGAGTCTCCAGGTCTCACCCCTTAAAATGGCATTTCATTACATTCAATGCTGGTTTTCTGGGGAAGCCCTTTCGGCTTCCCGGAGCTACCTCACCAAAGACAAAAACTAGAAAGACTCACCTGGAGGTGGTCAGAGCTCGCACCTCAACTTGAAGTCAAGACAACTGGCTGCAACCGCCGACCCAAAGCGACACAGGCCCGACTAGGCCAAGGAACATTCACGAGGTAGTGTGCAGCCAGGACCCTGTTCCACTGCCAGAAACCCTGTGCTCGAATGTCAACCCAAGACATGTTACCAAAGATGGCAGCAAGCGCAGCAAACTTGTGAATGTCATGGGCATGGGAAGAGCCTGCAGGCTGGCTAGACTGAATAACCCTGCAAACGACCAGAGACCCAAACCCGAGAACAGGAAAGAAAGAAAACTGGATCAGCCCAAAGCGTGTCCCCTGCAACAAAAGCTGTGATGCGCAAATAATGGCCAAAAGCCGCAACTATACACAACAAAAGATGCACCACCAGCCCAACCAACCAAGCATCAACAACCCAAGGACCCCTCTGGAGAGCAGCAGTCTCATTCTTTGCCAGAAAAGAAGGAGAAGGCTGCAAATGAACAAACCTATCACCACGACCAAAAGAGCAGAAACCCCTGCGCCGGAGGAGAGCATGAAGCTATCCATCCTGACCCCTGGAGGCCAATGCCAACAAGAAAAGAGCGTTGGAAAAACAATCCTGAACCGAAGGGGCCACAACAAACCGAGGCGAAGATAGAAACGAGAGCACTCTGTCCAAAGACCAGGACAGCTCAGGCGGCACAAGAGCAGGCCGGAGGTGAAACAACGCCTGGGCCAGCTTGCGAAACGGCGCAGAAGTAACATCAATCAATCCAGGAGCCAAAGCAATCTCCTTTGGCTCCACCAATGCCACACGATATGAAACGACAGTATGTGTCAAGACGACGGTCTCAAACCTCAATGAAAGAAGGACAAGACGATGTCAACAAAAGGCAGGACACCTACGAACAGACAAAAAGAAAAAGGAAGGACCGCCAGCAAAACCCTATACTGCCGCCAGGACGAAGCATGCAGGTGGAACACCATCAACGAAGCCACCTGATCACCAAAAAGATGGTGAGAGACTAGTCAGAATTACCGGATTTGAAGACTTGAGGAGAAGACCGAACCAGCCCCTTCACAGACTGGACCGATCGTTTGAAAGAGGCAGAGCTGTGGGAAAACCCCTGGGTGCGGACACCGAGCAAGCAGCACCCGAAATCAAGGCTGGCAAGGAACCAGAAGGAACATCTGCCAGGGAACCAGGAACCCAATCACATCAGCCTGAGAACTGGTGGTTGGATCGCTGGAGTGGTGGGTTTGGGGGTCTCCCTTTCCCCACCTAGGGAGGGGGAGAGCTGCAAAGACATTCGGCACAGCTCGTGTAAAGTCATGCTTGTTTGCTCTTTTTCATTTGGGGAGTTCTGTCCACTCGTTTGTCTATTTTCGTTGTTTTAACTAGAATTGGGATTTGTTTTGAGGCACTTACCTTTCTGGGTGCCTGTCCCGGTCGATGACAGATACAGAATACTCCAAATCACATGTGCATTTCTATAGGCCATTGCTCCTTGTGCCTCTCTGAGGGGGGCCAGGTTCTGTCCTAGAACTCCATACACACTGACTGAAGTCAAAGTTTAGTGATATACATATCAGCCTGGATAGCTCCGGGGAGCCGAAGGGGCTCCCCACCAGAAAAGTATTGAAAACTGATAAGCATCAATAGTACATAGTATATACTGTAGCAATTTGCCCACAGGAGAAAATTACAGATTAATTGGAACCGCATAAGAGTTAAGCCACACAATAATATGGAAGCAAAACATCACCAATAATTTAGAGTATAACATTAGAAACCTACCATGTTGATGAAATTTCCAATTGTAAGGATATAAGCAAAGAAATCTCTGATGACCTCATTATTGAGAAGTTTGTCACATGTGGTGAGGAGCATCTTAATTTGTGGCTTGAGGTAGTCTGCGGCTGGATATAGTTCTTCCATCTGGGAATATAAGCCAGTGTTATTTCAATAATAATAATAATAAAATAATTAACAATAATAATAATACTGCAATAATAAATTATTAATAATAATAATAATAATAAATTATTAATGATAAATTAATAATAATGATAAATTAATACTAATACTACTACTACTACTACTACTAATAATAATAATAATAATAATAATAATAATAATAATAATAATTATAATAATAATGTACAGAACATTATACAGTGGTTAATTAGTAGTTACAAAGAGTGCATATTTAATAAAGGCACTTGTATGCAAAGTGTATTGGGCATCCTGGTAACTTAAGCTAGTTCAGTTAAAATATTTTTAGGCTTAATGAGGTCAACACCTAATCTAAATGAGAAGCAGAACAATATATGAATTGTTCTAGTAATTTAGTAAATAATATACAGATTTTAAGTGATACTAATTGATGAGATGCACAGATAAGTATACTGGTATTAAATATGTATATTATCTCAGCCTGCCTTTCTTCCATCAAAGATGAAGCACAAACAACCCTCGTCTCACATCTGAGAATTATTTTCCTGAATTTACCTGAGAGTTACCATCTTTAGTGGCCTGAACAGAAAGGAAGTCCGTAGCTTATCAATTAGGCTCTTCCCATTATTCTTATTTTTTTTCCAGCTGAAATTTAAATTGATGTCTTAGCATTTACAGCATCAGCAAATGCAGAAGGGTATTCCATAGGTTTATTACCCAGAGGTGAATAAGCATCTTCTGTTTTCTGTCCTACACTGTGGGCTGTTGCCTTCAACAGTAAAAAAAAAAAAAAAAAAAAAAAAAAGTGGTTTGTTGAGCTTGTTTAACTGCTGATATCTGCCATGCATAAACTTAAAGAAAACTGTAATCTGTTTATTTAATTAAAATTTCTACTGCTGTTCTGTTGCATTTTCTACTGTTCTATCCATCATGTCATTATCATCATTCTCTTTCTTTTTTCAGTTCAAATTTATTCAATTTGATCTCAATTAGTATTAAGTTTTTGTCAAATTTTTTTCCCCACACCATGCCCAAATATGCTGTGCGTATTAGCGGCTTCAGGCAGTGTATGTACTAGCTTTATGTATTAATCCGACATTATGTTTGTAACTCATTTTCAATGTACATTATGTACAATAACTTTACCTGAATAAATATCTTTTCTTATATAGTAAACAGTGATTTCATGCTATTAGAGCATTTTATTTTAATTTTCACTAACAAACTTGGTCTGTCAAACAAATTCTTCAATAATTTTTTTTTTCCAGAAAATGATTTCACTGCATACGAACTCATTTGTGCCAATATTTTTTGTAACCTCTTTTCTGGGGGAGCCCCTTCGGCTCCCCGGGGCTCGACGACTGGCTGATCTCGGCTCCCAGCAGGTCCAGGCTGATATGCTAATGTCAGACATTGGCATCAGTCATGTGTATGGAATTCTGTGGGCCTACAGGGGACCACGAGCCAGAACCTGGCCCCCTCAGAGAGGCATGGGGAGCAATGGCCTATAGAAACCCCTGTGTGGTTAGAAGCATTTTATATGCCATCGACCGGGTCAGGCACCCAGAAAGGTAAGCATCCCAAAACAAACCCTGATTCTGGTGAAAATTGCTACAAAAAGCCGAACAAGTGAATAGAACTCCCCAAAAAGAAACAAGCAAACAAGCATGTCATCACACGTCGCCGCACCGCTGTCTGCGCAGCTACCCCTTCCCCGGGAGGGGGAAGGGGGAGCCATAGACCCCCTCGCCGGCCATCCACCCTTCAGTTCTGAGGCTGGACATCAAAACATGTGAAAATCCGCTGACCGAGGGAAGGGAGGGATGCCGGGGACCATCAGGGTCTCACCCAGAAAATGACGTTTCATTACATTCAATGCTGGTTTTCTGGGGTGGGGGGGGGGGGGAGAGGCCCCTTTGGCTCCTCGGAGCTAACTACCCACAGAGGAAATTTATAGGGACTTACTTGGGAGGCGGTCGCTGCTCACTCCTCAACCTGAAGTCGTGACAACTGGCTGCAACTGCCGACCCAAAGCGACACAGGCCCGACTAGACCCAGAAACGTTCACGAGGTAGCATGCAGCCAAGACACTGTTCGACCACCAAAAACCCCGCTCCCGAATGTCAGCCGAGGACATACTACCAAAGACGGCAGCAAGAGCAGTGAACTTACGAACGTCACGGGTACAGGGATAGATCGCAGGCTGGCTAGCCTTAATAACTTTGAGAATGAGCTGGGAAACCCGCACCCGTGAACAGGGAAGGAGGGAAACCGGATCAACCCAAAGCGCGTCCCCGGACACAGAAGCTGTGGTGCACAAAGAACGGCGAAGGGTTGCAACCGGACACTAAGGATGATGCACACCCGGCCTGACCAACCAAGCATTAACTACAAGGACCCCTCCGGAAAGCAGCCGTCTCATTTTTCGCCAGAAAAGAAGGAGACAGCTGCAGACGAGCAAACCGATCGCCACGACCAAAGGAGTATAAACCCCTGCGCCAGAGGAGAGCATGAAGCTCCCTGACCCGATCCCCAAAGGCCAATGCCAACAGGAAAAGAGCCTTCGAGAAACAATCCTGAACAGAAGGGGCCACAAGAAACCGAGGAGGAGAGAGAAAAGACTAATGTCCAATGACCAGGACGGCTCAGGCGACACATGAGCAGGCCAGAGGTGAAACAACGCACGAGACAGTTTGTGAAACGGCGCAAAAGTAACATCAATATCGAAAGCAAGCTGAAGCGGCTCCGCCAGCGCAGCACGATACGAGTCTACAGTATTCGGCATAAGATGATGGTCCTCGAACAACCAAGAGAGAAAGGACAACACCACCCGAACCGAAAGCGAAGCACAACGACGAAGAGTCAAGAAGAACTGGTAGGACTGCCAGGAAACTTCATACTGCTGCCAAGACGAGGCCCGCAGGTGGGACACTAACAAGGAAGCCACCTGATCACCATAGAGATGATGATAAACTTGAGTCAAAAATACCATATGTGACGACTCAAGGAGAACGAACCAGCCACATGACACACCGGTCCGATCTGCTAGAAAAGGCGGCGCCGCAGGAAAACCTCTGGGTTCGGACACCAAGCAAGCAGCACCTGAAACTACAGCTGAGCCGGCCACCACGGCCAAGAGGACTACTCTTCCCTGGTATTTCTCCACGCAAGTCAAGACCAGGAGCAACAGCCGAACCGGGGGGAAAGAGGTACAGGAACCCCCAGCTCGACCAGTCTTGCCAAAAAGCATTGTAATTTTGCTCTACGCGAGGTTTCTGTCTACGCTGAGATGTCTTTAGGACACCTGTGTTGTCATTTGACAGGTGTACCACCCCAGTCAAACGCCCCACCTGATAATGTCCTCGGAGCGGATCATGGCGGGTGTAATTGCCCGGGAGGCCGGAGGAGGCCACAGCCAGGAAACGAACCAACCCGAAGACGCAGTGCCACGAACCCCATACGCCAGGAGAGAAGGCAAGCTCCAAAACTGGGACACTCGCTCGTCGGTCATCGGCTTTCCGTCACTTAGGGCTAGAAACAGGAGGTACTCGCAGTCCGAGAAGGGTGCCACAAACAGTACAGCGGAAGGCGCCGCAACGACACCGACTCATAGAGGTCCACCTCCGGGCGCCCGAACGTTTGGCAGCGCCAACGTTAGGAGTCAGCGTCAACCATTCATTCCATGGACAGGGGAACGAAACGAGACAGGCTGTCTGCCAAGACGTTGGACACACCCCGAACGTGAACCGCCAGGAGAGCCAAATCCCGAGAACTCGGCAGATGAGTTACTCAAAGCGACCAGTGCCAAAGAGCCAAGGACCGCATTGAACCCCCTCGGTTCAGGCAATGAACCATCGGGGAGCAGTACGAATGGAGCAGAATCGTCGACCCATGGGTAACTCGAATCCTCCGAAGAGTAAACCACACTGCCGCGAACTCCTGCACTGTGCTGTGGGCCCGATGAAAGGATGGACCCCACCGCCCCTGGCCTGCCTGGTGAGCACTGGTCGCAAAGCCCCAGCCGAGAGAAGACGCGTCCGTGAACACATCGAGCGAGGGCTCAGGCAGACGTCAAGGCACTGAACTCCGAAAAATCCGAAAGAGGAAACCAGTAACGCAGCAGCCGAAGTAAGGCCCCCGGGGCCCGAACCCAGCAATCACGAGAGAGGCGGAAGGGATGTCCCCGAAGGAACCAGAACAGACGACAAAGCCAAACCCTACCCTGCAGGTAGACCATCATTGCAAAGTTCAAGCTCCCGCACAGACCCTCGAACAACCGCCAGGTGACCCGGGAGCCCCTCAGAAACAGGCGCATGCAGGACCACAGCCGAAGGAGGGACTCCGGAGGAAGAGACAAGGAAGTGGTCCAAGAGTCCCACACAAGACCCAGCCAGGTCCGAACCTGGGAGGGAACCAGATAGGACTTCCTCCAGTTCACCAAGAGCCCAAACCTGGCAAGCTGGGAAAGAACCAAATCCCTGGCCAGCAGACAAGCGGACCAGCTGGGAGCCCAGACCAGCCAGTCATCGAGCTCCGGGGTGCCTCCGGGTCTCACCCAGAAAATGGCGTTTCATTACATTCAACACTGGTTTTTTGTTAAAGAGCTTAGTTTCCTCACCAACCCATCTTTACCAATGTCTGATCTTCCCCACACTGCACTTTACAACACAATATTAATTTAACTGCAAGCTACAGTATTTAGAACTTTTTTATCTAGCATTTATAACAATCATCTACATTCATGACACACACACTTCTAAATTAATACCCAAAACATCCACATGAGTAGGAAAGTGACAATTTTTCAGTCTATACCCTTGTCAAGTTGCGACTTCTTTGAATTTGCTGAAATAGCAACTCATCATCAAGTGCTAGCTGTCAATACAGACCTGAATCATGCCTTCAATCCGAACTTGGAATTTGGGGATCTTAATGAGCTCGTGGTAGAACTTTTCTGCATTTCCGAGCTTCTCTACATCCCCTTCATATTCCTTGACCATCGCCACCTGTTGGAATGCTCAGTTTTTAGAATATATTGGTTGACAGGAGAATACAAAATGTAACAAGAGTATTCTCAAATCTTTGTGTGGTGGTCGGTGAGCAACATCTCCAATAAAACTGTATAGATTTAATTAAATTTTTTAGTGTTTATATACACAGTGCAATATATAATATAATACACAGACTAATCACACTAATGTGACTGCATCAATGAGAAAATCTGTAGGAGCAGTGATGAGGTTTTGAACCTATGTGGTGGGTGTTCCCAAGCACACGCTTTGAGTGACTATTCCACGACATGGTATAAGGATTGCAACCTGGAGTTCTACTGAACCCACAAGGATTTCCCGAGGCTTCTCTTGAAGCTGGAACAGAATTTTCACACAATACCCCCACCCCCCCCATGCACTCTAGCTCTGTCATCTAGGCCTTATTCTACCCCTGACGTTCCTCTTTCAATACACAGTTTTATCATTGATACAGGCACATTAGTGTGATTACTCTCTGTGTATTGAAAGATGAGTGTCAGGAGTAGAACAAGTCCTAGATGACAGAGCCAGAGTGCATGGGGGAAATATGTGAAAATCTTGTTCTGGCTTCAGAAGCCTCAGGAAATCCTTGTGGGTTCAGTAGAATGCCAAGTTGCACTCCATATACCATGTTGTGGTCTAGTCGCTAGAAGTGTGCACTTGGAAAAAAAATCCCACATAGATTTGAACCCTCATCACTGCTCCTATGGATTTTCTCAAACAATATAATAGTTTAAGTATATGCATTCATATGTAAAATGCTGTATAGTAGTTATGCATATACAGTGGGGCCTCGACTTATGAATCTAATCCAGTCCCAGAGACTGGTTGTAAGTCGAAAATTCATAAGTCGAAACGACTTATTTCCCACAAGAAATGTAAATTGAATCTGTTCCACACCCACAAAAATATCAACTTAAAAATACATTTTATACCAAATAACACTCATTTTGTACTAGCTACAATAAAGTACTGTACAGTGGTACCTCGGTTTACGAACGCCCGTTTGCGAACTTTTTGCGTTACGAGCCCAATTTATTCAGAAAATTTGAATTGGGTTACAAACTTTACCTTGGGATACGAGTTTGTCGATTTGCTTACGGCCGACCTAGCGCGTGGTGGCACGGCGATCGCTCCTCAGTTTACCAGTGCCTCGCGCCCAGTGACTATACCGCCTGAATTCTTCACAAGGATTTACAGTTTTTTTTCAGATTTTTGGGTACTTGAGCATAAAAGTTGTTATTATATATCTCGTCATGGGTCCCAAGAATGCCAGTGATAAGGTTCAAGGCAAGAAATCACATGTGAGAATGACCAGAGGAAAAACAAAAGATCATTCGTAAACATGAAAATGGTACACATGTTGTTGAACTAGCTAGGCAGTATAACAATCTTCAGGGGAGAAGGAAGAGGAGGCAGTAGAGGATGTCCCTTCCTCATTAATTAAGAAAATGTGTGCAGTATGGGAAGAACTGCAAAGTTTTGCTGAAAAGAATCACCCAGCTAAAGCTTCAGCAGGCCATTGCATTGATCTTATTAATGACGATGTGATGTCTCACTACAGACAAGTGTTACAAAGAAGGGAAAAACAATCTTAAAAAAAAAAAAAAAAATGAGAAAATCATGCAGTGAGCCAGAAGCAGGCAAAAATGTGCCAGAGTGAGTACCTCAGAGAAGTCATCACTGTCTGATGTTATAATGGAAGGGGATTCCCCTTCTAAACAGTAACACCTCTCCTCCTCCTACCCATCTTCCATATGCCAACAGGGAGTCATCAGTAAAGGTAAGTAATAACTTGTACATTCTTTTGTAGTGAATATTTGGGTGAATTAGGTATAAAATTTACTTTGAAGTGAAGTTTTTGGGGAGTCAGGAACGGATTAATTCATTTCCCATTAATTCTTAGGGGAAATTCACTTTGATTTACGAACCGTCTCCAGGAACGGATTAAATTCTTAAACCGAGGTACCCCTGTAAATATATCTTACCTGGAATGAGGACTCTTGTTGGTATATGAAAGACAGTGAGGAGGAGAGGTGTCAGTGTTTGGAAGAGAAGTCCCCTTCCATTATAACATCAGGCAGTGATGACTTTTCTGGGGTACTCTCTCTCTTCTACATTTTGCCTGCACACCACTAGGACCTGCTTATGCCTCACTGCTTGTTTTTCTCACTAAAAACCTGTCTAGTGACACTTGTTTTTCCCTATGTTGTAACACTTGTCTGAAGTGAGACATCACATTGTCATTAAAAAAGATTAACACAATGGCCTGCTACAGCTTGATTTGGGTGAAACTTTTCAGCAAAACTTTGCAATTCTTCCCAACTGCACACATTTTCTTAATAAATGAGGAAGGGACATCCTCTACTCTTCATCAACAACCCTTATTTCATTTTCACGTTTATGATATTTTGTTTTCCTCTATGGTCATCTTCACGTGTGTTTTCTTAGGTTTAACCTTACCACTGACTTTGTTGGGACCCATGGTGTGATATATAATAATTAGTTTTATGTTTAAAAATAAAAAAGCACTAGAATAATGGAATACTTTACAAGCGCAATTGTCACTAAGCGGGCGGCTCTGGTAAACTGAGGCTGGTCGGCCCGTGCCACCAGGAACCACGCACTCGGTCGACACAAACGTGTATCAACAAAGGTCGTTAGTCAAGGACACGGTCGTAAGTTACGTCTCATTTTCCGATGAAATTTAGGTCGTAACTCGAAAAATTCGTAATTAGAGGCAGTCTTAAGTCAAGGGTTCACTGTATGTACTTTAGTATTTGGGAATATTGCCAATATATATGCTGGCACTACTGCTTACTGTGGATTCCTCACCAAGTAGGGAACTAGTAGCAGCCTTAACAGTGTGGTTCCTTTATTAAAACTGGGTAGCAATAACACTAATACATTTCATCCCTTTCTCACAGTGGACGACGTGTGACAGTAAGTTGGGTCTAGCCAGTTACTAGTTCAGTTACTACTCAAACAACCTAACCATTGGTTATCTAATTGGCTTCCAGTAATATTAATTGTGTGTGCGAAATATTGAAGAGAGCATATACATGGAACAGCATCCTGTGCTAATGAAGCTTTGTGTTTTTTTATTAATATATAGTACAATGCAAATATCCCACCTTAACAAGCATAAATATTTTGCTAAATAAAACATAATTCAATGTTCCTTAATTTGTTTGTAAGCTAATTCAAACAATATTGTACTGTAATCAAGGTCTGATATGCAAACTAAAGGTACCTTGGTAAATAATATTAACAATATTATTAATAAATACTATTACTACTACTACTAATAATAATGCAATACCTATTCCTTGACATCCTGATACAAAAGAGTTTAAGATAGCAGGCTTTTTAAATTATTAAATTTCATTAATATTATCAATTTCTACACTTCAAATATTATTTCCTTCAACCAACAAAACACTAGGACGGTATCTTACCTCTCCTTCCTCGGGAAGTATTCTGAGGAATCCCCGGAGCCTTTCCGAGCCAATTTCTGAACTCTTGCAGTCATGAATGAGTGAGGCAACCTCGGCATGAGATATTTTAAACTGTTTCAAAAAAATGTTAACATTCAAGGATTTCTTGGGATCCAGCAATGCCACATCTGTAGACTGTTTTTTGGTCACCTTTGTAGCTTGTGGTTTATTTACCTGGCAAAATAGCTCCTCAATCTGCCCATAATTTAATGATGACGGAGGAGTTTCAAGCAGGTCTTTATTTACGCTTTTCCATAAGGAATTGTTGTTTATATTATTGTTTACTTTGATCCAATTAAGATGTTTCATTTTTGAGCGTGGTTTTGGTAGTGTGTTGTAGAATGCATTGGCAGCACGTGAAGTTGAGTAATTTGGTAAGGACATAGAGCTAAGAAGTGGATTACGAAGGCCAGGAGCAGGAGGTGGAGGTGGAGGCCCACTAAATCCTGGGGGAGGTGGTGGTGGGGGTGGACCCCCACATCCTGGAGGAAGTGGTGGTGGGGGTGGTGGATGTCCTGGAGGTGGTGGTGGTACTGGTATACCTCCCCATCCTGGAGGTGGAGGGGGTGGTGGTATTCCTCCCCATCCTGGAGGGGGTGCTGGACCTCCTGGAAGTGGAGGCGGTGCTGGTATACCTCCCCATCCTGGAGGGGGTGGTGGTGCTACTGGTATAGCTCCCAATACTGGAGGTGGTGGGGGTGGTGGTGGTATACCTCCCAATACTGGAGGTGGTGGGGGTGGTGGTGGTATACCTCCCAATCCTGGAAGGGGTGGTGGTGGTGGTATACCTCCCAATCCTGGAAGGGGTGGTGGTGGTGGTATACCTCCCAATCCTAGAGGGGGTGGAGGGGGTGGTGGTGGAGGTATACCTCCCAATCCTAGAGGGGGTGGTGGAGGAGGTATACCTCCCAATCCTGGAAGTGGTGGTGCTGGAGGTCCTGCATATATTGAAGGAGGGGAAGGAGGTGGTGGTGGTGGTCCTGTATATCCTGGAGGTGGTGGTGCAGGAGGCCCTCCATGACAGGGAGGAGGATGATGAGAAAGAGGTAGTGAAGACTTTAGATCATTATTTCCTACAACAAGTAAATCTGTCTGTCTGCAGCAATTATCAGGAAAATCAGCCGAGGTTATTTCCGATTCCTCTCGAGTGTTATTGGCAATATCATTCCTTAACGAAGGTTTTAATGTTTCTCCACCACTACCATCATCCTTGGCAGGAAGGCTAGATGATGGGAAAGGGCGTGCCTCAAATCCCTCAGGTAACACGTGGTTAACACTTGGAGACAAGTGCGTGCGAGTGGCATGACGGGAGAGTGTCTGGGTGGCAACACTGCGGGTAAAATCTTGGGACGATGCCACGGATTCTGCCCAAGTGAGAGTCAAGGTCCCCTCTACAGCACGAGCACCAACACGATCCAGTAATGACCATACAGCATCGCTGCAAAAACAATTGTCACAAAATAAAATAAATAAAATCCAAATAAATTACAAAATTCTCTTATTTACATTGCACCAAGTATTTTCAAAAGAAAATATTTTATACCAAAATACAGGGAAATCACATTAATGTGATTATATCAGAAATTTAAAAGCATATCAATGAGGTGTGAGAAAAGAGTAAGCCAGTAGTAAAAGATATGCCAAAAGGGAAGGAAAGGGAAGGGAAGGGGTAACGTTGCTAGAGAAGAGAAAAAAGAGTAATAATAATTAATTCCACTGTTGGGGGCAGGAAGCCTGTACTGCATTTACTTCTCTGACCTTCCTAGAGTAAGATTCAACCAAAAGGACAAACTATCGTATATGCAAATTAATGGTCCTAAATTGTGAAATGTTCTCCCAAATGTGATTACGAACTGTTCTTCTCCCAACTATCTTAAGTGAGAAACTAAAAAAATATCTAACATCACATAACAAATTTCACTCACATTTTCTTATCCAAAATAAAACATTCTCGTGTTTTGCTGCTACTGTAAATTGTAAATATACAAGATTCAAAAGCCGAAGATGTGGATGGAATTCTATACAAATCAGAAAAGAATTGGCAGATGAACTGTGTATATCACTGAAATTCCTTTTCAGAAAATCTCTGGACTAAGGGGATAATTTTCCCGGTTTGGAAATATGCAAATGTTACTCCAATTTTCAAACAAAGCAGAAAGAGCTCAGCAGAAAACTACCATCCAATCAGCTTGACTTTGCCCATCTGGAAGCTCATGGAGAGAATCCTAAGGGAGGAAATCATTCACCATCTCACTGTGAACAATACAGCAAAATCAATGCAACATGGTTTTGTTAAAAATAAAGCCTGCCTTACAAGCCTGCTCACATTTGAAATAGCCAGTTATTCAGACAAGGGACATCCAGTAGATGTAGTACACATGGACTTCACTAAAGCCTTTAATAAAGTACCACATGAAAGACTGGCAAGGAAAATACAAGCACATGGAACAAATAGTAGAATACTAGAATGGATGAAACAATGGCTAAAACAAAGAAAGCAAAGGGTCGTCTGGGCTGGACGGTTGAGTAACAGGTTTGTGCTAATTCCCTGACCATCTAAGTAATTGGGCACCATTTATTTCCTCCCATCCCGAATCCTTATTCTGATTACTTGCAAATGGTATGTAGTTGTAATGGCTTGGTGCTTTCTCCTGATAGTTCCCTTCCCTTTTCGAATGGAAATGAATCGGACTGGAGAAATGTGGCGAGTGGGATACCACAAGGTTACATATTGGGGTCAACCCTTTTTGTCATAAACCAATAAATCCACAAGGCAAAAGTATATACATCACACTTATAATTAACAAATAACCAACATTGTTTTCTTAATTTTTATAGTACCCATCAAATAGTGCATTGAACAGTTTGGGTGCAAAAATCATTAAACAGTACCGAATTCTATGGAGTGTCATGGGTAGTGATGCTGTACTTCTGCTGCCACCACTACCATCAACTGCTCTAATTCCTGGAGTGAGGTTGTACACTCACAGAAGTGGTGATCACTCAAGTGACCTAAACTAGCACTTCAACAATGCTCACATTTACAGAACACGAACAAGAATGTTCAAATCTTTATTACCTCTTATAGAGGGGCAGACCAAGCTCTGCTGGCTGCTTTTAATTGCAAACACAATAAAAAAGTAAAGTCTATCACCTCATCCATGATTCAATAGAGATTTTCAAGTCTTAACTCAGAAGTGAAAATCATAATTACTCACTGCAGGTTTACTGTCATTTTGGAACAGAATTCAATTAAAGACATTTATCACTATCTTCACCTAACACATTAAATAGTTCTCACCAGAAACCATTTTAGTTTGTACAAAATTCATGCAAGCAAACAAATGGCCTGTTGCCATATATTATTTAGGCTTTAACTTGTATTTATATTTTCATAATTTTGCACAGCCTCATTAAAGTCCTCTGGAACAGGCCACCATAATAGCATGATTTCTGGTTAAGTTGTGCACTCGCAAACACTTAAGACTTGCAGTTTGATCTACAGTAGTAAACTTCTATGAAAATTTTTAAATTTATCTTTTATCAATTAATGTGCCAGTTCACACACAAATCCAAGATACTTGAATCTAATATCTTGCAGAACTTGAAATATTTTGTCTGAATGTATACCAGTTTCCTATGTATTAACAGCATCATTATTTCTTAATCACATCTTTAAATAGTTTATGTAGTCTATCAACACTAGGGAATCGGCAAAACTAGTCTGTGGCAGGTAGTGGACTATCACAGGATGGTCTTACTCATCTGCTTCCTCCCCCCCCAGCTTGCTACGTTACTAGTCATTAAATGAAAGTTATGTGAGCACTTGTGTGTACTGGAGCATAGAAAAGTGTGTGCGTGTGTGTGGGTTTGGGTGTGGGTGTGCGCGCGCACATGCACACTGCACCTGAATAAACTCCTCCAAACCTCCCATGATATTGCTAAACCAATACACACACTCCCACACCACCCATGGTAGTGCTGTTACTGGAACATGCCCTCAATTTGCATGACATTTTCTGCTTTGGCATTTCTGCATTGGCAAAATCTGGCTCTGGGAACATACATATTTTCTTGTGTGCTGTTTGTGAGATCTGTTGCTGTCCTCTTAAAACAAATTTGAAGTCAGGATTAGCATTTCAATTTCAAATTTTAGATATATAGAGTATACAGGGTCCTATAGTGCAGTGATCAGTGAAGTTGGTTTAAAACCAAGAGATCCTAAGTTTTATTCCCAAGGCAGTTAGCAAGGTGCCTGACGAACACCTGACCTAACAGCTCCTTATAATTTCTGGGGCTCACCCATGTGGCGGGTTCACCCGTGCGGCGGGCTCACCCGTGCGGCGGGCTCACCCGTGCGGCGGGCTCACCCGTGCGGCGGGCTCACCCGTGCGGCGGGCTCCACCGTGCAATGGGCTCTACCGTGCGCCGGGCTCACCTGTGCAGCAGGCTCACTCATGCGCTGGGCTCATCCGTGTGGTGGGATCACTTGTTTGCTTACATCATGCACTAATATGTCCTTGCAAGGAAATAATTTAATAGTAATTAAGCCTGGGGCTATGCACTGTAAAGAAAGTCACTCAATATTTTAGAGAAAGTTAGATGGACAGCTAGGCATGGGTTACACTGGAAGAGTGACAGAGACTTTTGATGTGAATTTTTTTTTTAACAGAAAAATGAAGGCAGTAATCAGAGGCAATGTATCAGACTGAAGAAATATTACAAGTGGTCTACCACAGGGGTTCAGTTCTAGCACAAGTAATGTTCATTGTCTATACTGTATACAATCTATCAGAAGGAATACAGAACCTATATGAACATGTTTGCTGATTATACCAAACTAATAGGGAAGGTAAGACACTTAGATGATTGTTACATCCTTCAAAATGACCTGGACAAAATAAGTATAGGAACAATACTTGGCTGATGGAATTTAATGTGAATAAATGTCATGTTATGGAATATGGAATAGAAGAAAATAGGCCACACATAACATACAAATTATGTGAAGAGGCTTTAAGGACCCTTTAGCAGCTTAAGGGTTAAAGAACTCTCACAAACAAAAATATCTAGTAGTCCTGGACAGAAAACTGTCACTTAAAGAGGACCACATAATGAATATTGTACAATGAACCTATGCTACACTTTTCAACTTCAGAATCTCTTTTTAAAATACATAGAAGCAAAATATTGAAGAAATTGTTCATGATCTTCATGAGATAAAAATTGGAATATGCAGCAGTTTTATGGTGCCCTTAGCTTGAGAAGCACATCATTAAACTGGAAAAAGTGCAAAGACGTTCAACTAAATGGCTTCTGGAATTGAAAAACAACAGCTATGAGGAAAGGTTACAGGTGTTAAATATATGAAAGCCAGAAAAGAAAAAATAGGCGATATCATCACTACATAAAAAGTAGCAACAAGAATCGACAAAACTAACAAAGAAGAATGCTTGAAGCCTAGATCTTCAAGAACAAGTTCATAAACTCAAGCTAACGAAAAAAAGCTGATAAAAAATCATTAGAAAGTTCCCCTTTGCCAATACTGTAGTGGTAAACAGTTGGAACAAGTTAAGTGAGGTTGTGGTGGATGCCAAAACTGTCAGTAGTGTCAGAGTGCTATGTGATAAAGCATACTGGGAAGTTAGGACGCCACGAGCATAGTTCTCATCCTGTAACTATATTCGGGTAATTACACTTGGGTAATTACAAATGATGGCCAAGGTGATGGGCTAGCCAGGCTACCCATGGTAAGTAAACTCATGGGTAACTATATTTAACCCTTAAACTGTGCAGCTATCTAAAATAACTTGCTTAGCTAAATGAATTCCCAACCATGTTAAAGACTGTACCTCTCTCAATCAGTTTAAAATAAAAACAAAGCACTACCTAATAAATTCCCTGTAACCTACCTATTGTCAACCCATGTCTGTTTTTATTTAAACAACGCTGTTTGTCGACCTAATTGTATCTGTGCTGCTTTTTCAGCCATGTTCCCCCCTTTTTTATCTCTATTTTTATTTGCTTTCAACACATTTTATTCTTTATGCTCAATTAGTATTAAGCTTTAGTCATTAATGTTTTTCATGCCCGAAACGCTTTGCGTAATAGTGGCTTTAGGCATTGTATGTACTAGCTCTATCTATAAATCCATCAATCTTTGTAAAATCTCTTGTATGTATGTACCTTACCTAAATAAACATTTATTTTATTTATTTATTTCTAATTGTGGAGTTCAGTCCCTGAGCCCATTATGTGCCTCTGTAACCCTTTCCACTACTGCCCACAAGATGGGTATGGGGTGTATAATAAACGAACTAAACTAAAAACTGTCTAAAAGTACTACATCAAGGTGAACATGTCTAAAATTAGAATAAAATTTTATTTTATTTTATTTTATTTAATAAAAATTGTCATCGAATAAAATGGGGAGAAAAAGTGCTTATGGTGAATGGAGCACGGGAAGAAATTGCATATTGTGATTAAGAACAGTGAATGGGTTAAGAGACATTTTCACACAATATAATAGGTAGCAGGTACTATTAGGACAATACACAATTACAGTACTAGCAATTAAGTACAAACAGGTAAGTGTATATGTACATGTGTAAACCCAAAAGTAATGCAAGCACAGATGGGAGAAAATATGATTTAACCTAAAATGTTAAAATAATAATGAACCCACCTGTCTTCTTTGTCAGGATCAAGTTGAGTGAGGTTATGAATCAATGCCAACAGCAGGAGCGAGTGTGGCGTGTCTCGGATCTGCATCACAGATAAGATTATTATTATTATACTTGTTAGTATAACAGTTTGGATTTCATAGTACAGTATGAAGTTTTATTGGTCATGTGACTGAACTCTGATCAATGCATGCTCTATGCTACTTGCTTATTTGGAGTGCCTAAGGACATTTTTTGAAAATGTATTTGTACCTATGGAAAGAAACATCATCAATACCTTAATGTAATTTCAGTATCATAAGGGTGGACAGTGTCAAAAGCTAAGAGAGCTGCTGATGGGGGGGGGGGGGGCTTGTCATTAGCTGTAAAATTCTAGCATTGAATGTAATGAAATTCCACAATGGCATCACAAGGTATGAAGAAGGCCTTCTGAGAAAGGGCACCTGTTTTGCTTTCTTCACATGGTAATGCTTTCATGAGCAACTGGAGACAAATACTGCAATAATACTGCTGTTCAACAAGGCAAAATTGTGTGTTTAACAATAATAATAATAATAACAATAAATAATTTCATTCACCTGGGTTCTAGGAGACTCGAACTACAGACCCCATGCATGTGAGGTAGAAGCTCTATCAGCCGAGTGGATAGAGCTTCTGCCTCACAAGCGTGGGGTCTGTGGTTTGTCTCCTAGAGCTCAGGTGACTGAAATGTTTATTGTTATTAAAATGTGGATGACATTTTAAGAAATAATAATACAGTAATAATAATACTGTAATTAGAATTTGCAATAACTAAGCCAGACAATAGGTCTACATTAGGCAATGTATTGTTGACATAATTTCAATATAATTCAAGAATGAATACCATTCTTTAGTTACTTGGCCTTTTGCATGCATTTACAATTCTTTTTACTTCAAAATTACCAACAATAGTCGAGGTTAGCATTAAACAGCATTACATTATTTTACCTTAGTGAAGAGGGTATTAAAAGCATCGTAGTGGTTGATGTTAAGTTGACCCTCATCTCCATATAGCTGCTCCTGGTCTTCTTCATAACTATCTTCGAATACTGATAACTGTAGAGACAACTGATCATCCTCTACTTTATGCAAATCTTGAAGTATATTCAAGAAATCCAACCCTGGCCAACAATAAAAAGTTTCGTTACTGAAAATGAAAATTAAAGATAGTTTTCTTAAAGTTAACAGGTTAAATTTTTATATTATTCCATCTTGCACATACTTTTCTTGATTGAAGTATGCTTTTTGTCAGCCATCTATAGGATGATTAAACTTTTGATAGTAACTTGTTTATTAATAATTAATTTTTTCAGGGATAGGCAGCTAGTGAGTATGTGTACATATGTACGTACAGAACGTCAGAGACAATGTATCTGACTGGAGGAGTGTTACTAGCGGAGTACCACAGGGTTCAGTTCTTGCACAAGTATTGTTCATTGTCTCCATAAACAATCTACCAGAAGGAATACAGAATTATGTGAACATGTTTGCAGATGATGCTAAGGTACTGGGGAAGATAGGAGATGCAGATGATTGCAATGCCCTTCAAATTGATCTAGATAAAATATCTTTGAGTGTCAAGTAGCAAATGAGACCTCGTGGTGGTTTTGGATAGTAAGCTATCACCAGAGGAACACAAAGACCATTATGAAAGGAGCATATGCATTGCTTTTAATTACTGTACAGTGAAACCTCGGCTTACAAATGCCCCTCTTTACGAACTTTTCAGATTATGAGCCCAATTTCTTCGTAAAATCTGAATCAGGTTACAAACTTTACCTCGGATAATGTAGCTTGTTGATACTCGTATGGCCGACCTAGCGTGTGGTGGCAAAGCGACCGCGCCTCAGTTTACCAGTGCCTCCCACCTAGTGACAATCGCCCTTGAATTCTTTGTAAAGAATTTCAGCGTTTTCCAGATTTTTGGGTATTTGAACATGATAGTTATTATTATATATCTCACCATGGGTCCCAAGAAAGCCAGTGGTAAGGTTCAATCCAAGAAAACACATGTGAGGATGACCATAGAGGAAAGAGAGATCATTCGTAAACATGAAATGGTACACGGGTTGTTGAACTAGCTAGGCAGTACAGCAAATCTATGTCAATGTTATGCACTGTAGTTGCTAAGAAAAAGGACATTATGAGTGCTAAAGTGGCAAAAGGCGTATCAACAATCACGAAACGAACACAATTCTGAGGAAATGTCTTTAGGGAAGGAGGAGGCAGTACAGAATGTCCCTTCCTCAATAATTAGGAAATGATGAAGACTGTGGGAAAAAATGCAAATTTTTGTTGAAGAAATGCAAACTGTTTTGTTGAAATGCAAACTTTGTCGACTCGCCCAGAGCAAGCTGTAGTAGACCGTTGCCTTAACTTTTTGAATGACACTGTGATGCCTCACTACAGACAAGTGTTACAACATAGGGAAAAACAAGCCTCTATGATTGGATTTTAAGTGAGAAAAACAAGCAGTGAGCCACAAGCAAGTCCTAATGGTATGCAGGCAAAACATACCAGAAAGAGTACCCCAGAGAAGTCATCATTGCCTGATGTTATAATGTAAGGGGACTTCCCTTCCAAACACTAACACCTCTCCTCCCCTCTTCACCGTCTTCCATCTGCCAACAACAGTCATTAACAAAGGTAAACAATAACTTGCACATATTTTAGTACTAAAGATTTGGGCGAATGAGGTATAAAATTTACTTTAAAGTTAATATTTTTGGCAGTGTGGAATGGATTAATTCAATTTATATTATTTCTTATGGGAAAATTTGCTTCGGTTTACGAATTTTCGGGTTACGAACCATCTTTGGGAACGGATTAAATTCGTAAGCTGAGGTATCACTGTATATGGATGGTGAAATACGTGTACTAAAGAAACTGTTCATGACTTTTGTGAGACCAAAATTGGAATAGGTAGTTGTATGGTGCCCAAATCTTAAGAAGCACATAAATGAACTGGAAAAGGTGCAGCAGCATGCCACAAAATGGCTTCTGGAACTGAAAAATAAGAGTTACGAGGAGAGACTAGAGGCGTTAAACATGCCGAAACTAGAAAATAAAAGAGGTGATATGATCACTACTTGCAAAATACTAACAGGGATAGACCAAATTGACAAAGAGGAATTCCTGAAACCAGCAACTTTACGAACTAAGAGGAAACAAATTCATGCTAAGAAAACAGAGATGCCGAAAAGATATTAGAAAATTTTATTTTCTAGTAAAGTGGTCGACGGTTGGACCAAATTAAGCAAGAAGGTGGTGGAGGCCACAACCGTCTGTAGTTTCAAAGCTTTATATGACAAAGAGTACCGAGAAGATGGGACACCATGAGAGTAGCTCTCATCCTGTAATTACATACACACACACGGGCATACATTATGCTTATAAGGATGACCCCCCCCAGGTTGAATTGACCTTCCCCAGGATGCAACCTCACAACAGTTACACTACAGTAACTCCAGGGTACTACCTATTTACTGCTAGGCAAGCAGAGGCATTAGGTGAAAGGAAACGTGCCCAACCAATTCTGTCCTGCCTGAGGATCAAACCTGGGATTCCCAATAGTGAGTCAAGAACAAACCCAAATGTACTTCTGAAACTGAAGTTTAGTTACCAGGCAACAGTGTGCATTGTGGAGGCTACATTGTGTGTTTTTATATATAACATTGTACTGTCCTTCCTTATATTCCCAGCTCAGATAATAACAAATATTATCAATAATAAACTGTATAATTATATACAATTATTATAATTATTAATATATTATTATACAATTATATCAAGGTCTCCTCCAGGGTTGAATTACAGTACAGTACTGACCCTTCCCAGGATGCAACCCCACAACAAGCTGACTGACCCAAGGGTACCTACAGTATTTACTTCTAGGTGAACAGGTCATCAGGTGATAGGAAATGCACCCAACCATTTGTGTCCCACCCAGGATTTGAATCCAGAATTCCCAATTGTGAATTGAGAACAAACCCAACTGTACTACTGGGACCCTGTAATGATAACAAATATAACAATGTTTTACTTATAAAAAATAGAATATCAGATTACCGTGGTTACTTAATAGGTAGAGTACAGTACTGTATTTTTATTAGTTCCCCTTTGTCGGGGACAGAACGTTTATACTGGGGCCATGTTCCTCCTAGGTTGAACTACTGACCTTCCCTAAGATGCTACCTACAACAGTTGCTTAACTTGACTGCTAGGTGAACAAAGATATCAAGTGACAATAAACATGCCAACTATTTCTGTTCCTCCCTGAGGGATCGAACCTAGGATCCTCAACTGTGAGTCAAGGACATAACCCACTGTGCCACACACCATTGCCTCACTTGTATAATATACCTCTAAGTGGCTTTACCTACCCATTTCACTTTATTGTTATATTTTAAGTACCTGCCCAGTCTACTTCAGTACTGTTCAGATTTCATCTGTTATTGCATACAATAATGGGATCTTATCCATTAACCTGTAAAGTGTTAGTATCCCTCAGATAAATTCAATAATCACTGACCTTACTAAGCATTGGTTGCATTAAAGTTTTGCCCTCGTACTTGACTCACTGTTTATCATTTGCACTTTAATTTTCCAGTACATCTTGGCATTTATATTAAATGTGGCAGCATACCATTTAAAGTAACTACTTATCCAACTGCAATTTGTTTATTTATTGTAATTAACCATTTCATCTGACTTTCCAAGGCTTCAAACATATTAAAACAATTGCAAAAACTAGACTCCCAACAAAGCCCAGTTACTCCCTATCTTCAGTAAAGAGACTGGAAAGACATTAAGAGATTAGTTAATTCAAGACTGGAGTCACTAACCAGACCATTACATGAATTGATAATGGTCCAGGAGCGACTGATTTTTTTTTTTTTTTTTTAAGATATATACAAGAGTTGTTACATTCTTGTACAGCCACTAGTACACATAGCGTTTCGGGCAGGTCCCTGGAATACGATCCCCGCCGTGAAGAATCTTTTTTACAACCAAGTACACATTTTACTGTTGAGTTAAACAGAGGCTACAGTTAAGGATTTGCGCCCAGTAAATCCTCCCTGGCCAGGATACGAACTCATGACAAAGCGCTCGCAGAACGCCAGGCGAGTGTCTTACCACTACACCACGGAGACTGGTGAATGATGTTGCTTTTTCATTTTATGATGTGTGGTTTGGACATCATATCTTCAGCCATGCTTATGTGACTCATTGTCTGCATAACCAGACCAAATTGGGCAGGAAAACGATATCTCTTACATTTGTCTGGATAATTGTGAACTTACATATTTACAAGCTGTTGCAGATATAGCTGTGGATTATTTCAGAAACTATCTTTAACAGCATTAGATTCAAACCTGGGACTATTTACTTGGGCAACTAAGCCAGTATGATATCCACTAACATCCATACTCTGTAGAGTATATCCAATTATCGGGGACAGGAAGCCTGTACTTTGGTTCATCATGGTCCCCCTCTAGAGTTGAGACCAACTACCAACCTTTCCCAGGATGCAAACCACAACAATTCTCTAACTCCTTGGTACCTACTGGGTATTTACCGCTAGGTGAACAGAGACACGAGGTGAAAGGAAGTGTGCTCTCGACTGTGAACCAATGACGTATGCTACTGTGCTATAGAAAAATATAGAAGTTCAAAGAAATGTTAATGGTACAAAATCTTTTTATACAGTAGTTCTCAAAATGGGCAAGAGAATACTCACCAATAAACTCATTTCTAATGGCAACACGTGCCTGCAAATGGCTGACACCAAGTACAAGACAATTAACAAAGGCTACTAGTGTCGTTTGGTAGTCCGAGACCTCTGCATTACGAATCTCCTGGACAACCAACGTAAACCGGTATCGTTTGGTTTTCAATACCTGTAACAGGATCAGAAATTAGACAAAAGAAAAATTAATCATCAAGGTAGTTTCCAAGGGTGAAATGCAAACTAATAGTAGGCATCAAAAATGGTTTTATATTACAGTATATAATAATCAAATAAGAGAAGTACAAGATAAAAGCTAAGATCTAAAATCAGAATTATTGCTTACGTTATCTAATTGTGTGAAAAAGCACTAAAGAGCATATACAGTATATTAAGCCAAATTATAGCTGACTGCTGGACTGGCCTCTCATTTTCATTATATAAAAGTACAGAAAAAGTATAACAAGACAATTAATATTCAGAGAACAAGTCATAATGTGGGTGAAACAAATAACCTAGCTGATATATATATAATATGAAATGAAAGTGAAACTGGTTCAGTCCATCCTGGACACTCTTCAAATTGTGACAATGATTATATTTGTATATATAGACTGAAAATGAAAAAAATATCCGACTAATCAACATAATGCTGTCCTTACATTTCATAAACTTCTGTTTCCCTATTATGATATTAAATTTTTTATACTTTAACTATTTATACTACCAAAACATGCTTACTTTATAATTATTGAGGGAGTCGAGAGCCAGAGCGTGGCCTTTCTCTGAATACACGCACAATGCAGACAGCAGCTCAAACACTTGTTTCTTCACCAGCATGTTGCGAGAGTCCAGCGCTGTGGAAGTACTTCACCATTATTGATCAAGTTTGAGATATCACATAAGAACATAACCTGAATTTGCCTGAGAAATCCAGGAGGCCTGGTCGGAAACTGGGCCGTGGTGTTATAGATCCCCAGAACCTTCAACATGTAGTCAACAAGAATAGCCACCAACGCTCTAGTGGCCTCGATGAGGACAGGAAGCCTGTGGCGTGTCAAAGGACCCCATTTATACTGATAAAAATGTTAAAGCTGCAGAAGGCCTGCTGATCCTCATGACATGGCCCTTACTGGCCCATATGAAGGAACTCTTATTTACATCTGCCCAAACTCTTTCAATATATAGGTCTAACCTATTCTTGAAACAATCCAGTGATCCCACATCTATTTTACTTCCCAGAAATTTGTTCCATTACACTCTAGTAAGCTTTGTGTTCCTGAAAAAGCTCCTAACCATCCATGTTAAGTACAATGTTCAACATTTAACATTACAGTGCTTAAAAAAGGATTGCATATTAACCAATGTTAATACAGTATAACAAGCTCATAATTTCAGCTGAAATGGAAAGAAATATGTGGATATTAATTTGGAGATCTATTTGTTAACTTTCCACCCATATTAAACAAACATCAGGTGCTGAAACACTTCTAAACCATACATGAAGTTGCCTGGGAGTGTTTACCCCCAGCAACTTGCCAGAGAGCACCTACCCCTCGGCAACTTGCCAGAGGGCACCTACCCCTCGGCAACTTGCCAGAGGGCACCTACCCCTCGGCAACTTGCCAGAGGGCACCTACCCCTCGGCAACTTGCCAGAGGGCACCTACCCCTCGGCAACTTGCCAGAGGGCACCTACCCCTCGGCAACTTGCCAGAGGGCACCTACCCCTCGGCAACTTGCCAGAGGGTACCTACCCCTCGGCAACTTGCCAGAGGGCACCTACCCCTCGGCAACTTGCCAGAGGGCACCTACCCCTCGGCAACTTGCCAGAGGGCACCTACCCCTCGGCAACTTGCCAGAGGGCACCTACCCCTCGGCAACTTCCCAGAGGGCACCTACCCCTCGGCAACTTGCCAGAGGGCACCTACCCCTCGGCAACTTCCCAGAGGGCACCTACCCCTCGGCAACTTCCCAGAGGGCACCTACCCCTCGGCAACTTCCCAGAGGGCACCTACCCCTCGGCAACTTCCCAGAGGGCACCTACCCCTCGGCAACTTCCCAGAGGGCACCTACCCCTCGGCAACTTCCCAGAGGGCACCTACCCCTCGGCAACTTCCCAGAGGGCACCTACCCCTCGGCAACTTGCCAGAGGGCACCTACCCCTCGGCAACTTGCCAGAGGGCACCTACCCCTCGGCAACTTCCCAGAGGGCACCTACCCCTCGGCAACTTCCCAGAGGGCACCTACCCCTCAGCAACTTGCCAGAGAGCACCTACCCCTCAGCAACTTGCCAGAGGGCACCTACCCCTCAGCAACTTGCCAGAGGGCACCTACCCCTCAGCAACTTGCCAGAGAGCACCTACCCCTCAGCAACTTGCCACAGAGCACCTACCCCTCGGCAACTTGCCAGAGAGCACCTTCCCCTCAGCAACTTGCCAGAGAGCACCTACCCCTCGGCAACTTGCCAGAGGGCACCTACCCCTCGACAACTTGCCAGAGAGCACCTACCCCTCGACAACTTGCCAGAGGGCACCTACCCCTCGGCAACTTGCCAGAGAGCACCTTCCCCTCAGCAACTTGCCAGAGGGCACCTACCCCTCAGCAACTTGCCAGAGGGCACCTACCCCTCAGCAACTTGCCAGAGAGCACCTACCCCTCAGCAACTTGCCAGAGAGCACCTACCCCTCAGCAACTTGCCAGAGAGCACTTACCCTTAGCAAGTTTCCGTGTGTAATTATCACTGTTGATGATGTACTCTAGCCCCGTCTTGGAGTTCATGACAGCCTTGACACACAGTACACATTCAAGTTGCAGCAAAGCATCTGCAATGGAGCTGAAGCGTCGATCACTCAGGCGCTCCAAGGATTCAAACAAGACTCCTAAACCATCCAAATTCAAGAAGTCTTCCAGCCATTCTTTACTTGCCTGAAATTAAAAGGTCGGCATATAAATCTCTAAACAAATAAGTTAAGCTTTTAGATAACGTCACAATTATATGGGTGAAACAAATAACTCGCCTCACATGTATGACATAAAACGAAAGCTATGTAACGTAATTATCGAGAGCAAGCCCTTTGCCAGTATATGACTATACAGATATAGCACTTGGGAGGGATAGGACAGGGAGCTGGGAGGGATAGGACACGGAGCTGGGAGGGATAGGACACGGAGCTGGGAGGGATAGGACAGGGAGCTGGGAGGGATAGGACAGGGAGCTGGGAGGGATAGGACAGGGAGCTGGGAGGGATAGGACAGGGAGCTGAGAGGGATAGGACAGGGAGCTGAGAGGGATAGGACAGGGAGCTGAGAGGGATAGGACAGGGAGCTGGGAGGGATAGGACAGGGTGCTGGGAGGGATAGGACAGGGTGCTGGGAGGGATAGGACACGGAGCTGGGAGGGATAGGACACGGAGCTGGGAGGGATAGGACACGGAGCTGGGAGGGATAGGACACGGAGCTGGGAGGGATAGGACACGGCGCTGGGAGGGATAGGACACGGAGCTGGGAGGGATAGGACACGGAGCTGGGAGGGATAGGACACGGAGCTGGGAGGGATAGGACACGGAGCTGGGAGGGATAGGACACGGAGCTGGGAGGGATAGGACACGGAGCTGGGAGGGATAGGACACGGAGCTGGGAGGGATAGGACACGGAGCTGGGAGGGATAGGACAAGGAGCTGGAAGAAAACTGAGGGAAGGAATTGTGCACAAACCATCAGGGCTTGCAAGCCTACTTGTAAGCAGCAAGGTCGTCGCTGTTCATCCTGGACCCCTTATACATTTCGGTCCATCCTGGACCCCCTTATCAAGTCCCACTCTTCCTTGTCACGACTTGATAAGGGTCCAGTGTGGGCCAAAACGCCTTCACTTTCCATTATCTTCATTATCTCATCTTTTTTTCATTCCATGTAACTATTATCTTTTTTTTTCTATAAATTTTGCAAGTATTTACCTACTTAAAATTTTCTTAGATTAAGGACCTGCCCGAAACGCTGCGCGTACTAGTGGCTTTACAAGACTGTAATTACCATACTATGTAGTCTCACATTCCCAATGTACCTTCCTGTATATGCATAAATAAATAAAATAAAATAAATAAATTATTATGCGTGGATTGGGTTAAATTAAAATTGCTTTAAGCTGTGAAAAAGTTGAATGTGCGTCTCATATTTTGATGCATTGAGTACTGACAGACTTACCACTTCCATAAGTTTCTTGAGACCAGAGTAGTTGGAGACACTGGGGATACGCAGCAGTGTGACGCAGGTCTCCGGGTCCCAGTTGGCCAGGTTGCCCTAAAATTATGAGGAGACCCGAGGAAGCTGCATTAATTGATAACATACAAATACAAGATACGCTTCTGTGCAATTGAAAAGAAGCAAGATACAGTGCAAAGTTCAACTATGGACTAAAGTGCCTTTTAAATCACTGTTTGTCCAGTGTCTAGTATCACCTACTTTATTTTATGTTAAAAGGAGTGGAATGCCGTTTAAATTTAGATACTAAGCAGAGATATATTACTCCACAATAACTTATTGATTCTAAATTGGAGATGCATTCAGAGATGGTCACTGCTTGATCGCAAGCGGGGATTTTTCTGGCGGGGGAGAAAGAAACAATTGCGCAGCGCGTCCCGCGGCGTTGCGCGGGCAGTTTGGGGCCTGTATAAATACGGGCGCACACTGGGGCTCTGCCTCACTCCGCCTGCCCTCGCCGCTGCCCTCGCAAAACATGCCCTCGCATGTTTATTTTTGCGTTGCTGTGTCCAGTATGCTTGCCCACTTTTACCCTGCCTTACGTCAAGTAAAGACAGCCAGGATGTGCTATTTGCAGAGTTACCAAGTAATTTATTAAGTAAAGTCAGACAGGCAGTGCTAGTTGCAGAGTTACTAAGTAAATTATTAAGTAAAGTCAGCCAGGATGTGCTATTTGCAGAGTTCCTAAGAATTATTAAGTAAAGTCAGACAGGATGTGCTATTTGCAGTATTCGCGGGCCCTTATTTTAGCTTCACGTCTCCTGGCCCTGCATTTTTGCCTAGTTTCATCGGTAGTTACAGTAGTTTATGCTTAGCTTTGCAGCTTAGTTTCCTCAGTGGTTACAGTATTCACGCTAGGCTCTTGCAGTTTATTCACGTTACTTATCAGGTTATATTTGTTATGCTTTCCCTCCGTTCTCTTAATGTAAAAATGGTTATATATGCACGCCGATTGTATACCCTTATTTTGTACCTGCAGACTTCACGTGCCATGACTTGCCCTATTCAGGTGACCTGGACAGGGGGGTGGCCCCCACGTTGCCTGGGGCACGGTACACTCCAGCAGATGGCGGCGTCGAAGCGTCGTCGGGAACGTCGTATATTTAATGATATCCCGTTCTTTGCATTCCTAAGACAATGTAAATTAAGATTTTATACGCTTATATGGAAGGTTTCTTATTTTGTACTGGCAGACATCTCGCGACATGCCTTGCCCTTCCTCTTAATTACGTTCTACATTTCAGCACTAACATGCCTCCTGCTTTCAGATTACCACGGATTCCTTTTCCCAAACAGCCTACCTTAATTTACTCCGACAGTTGATGCTTTGCTCATGTCGCATGTTTAATTTTGCGTTGCTGTGTTCAGTATGTTTGTTCTTTTTCCTTGCCTTACGTCTTTACGTAAAGTCAGCCAGGATGGGCTATTTGCAGAGTTACTAAGTAAATTATTAAGTAAAGTCAGCCAGGATGTGCTATTTGCAGAGTTACTAAGTAAATTATTAAGTCAGCCAGGATGTGCTATTTGCAGAGTTACTATTTACTAGTCTTTTGCTGGGCTACCTTTATGCTTCTCCCCTTCCTGTCTAGGTATGTTTAGGTATGGCTAGCGGTGCGCGAGCCGCGGCTTATCGGTTCCTCCTACGTCTGCGTGTCTGTTAATTTTGTTATTGTTGGACTCGCAATTTGATTTGTATTTATTACGGAAAAATTTTTCTCCCGCAACTTACTCTTTGTTTAAGTTTCACGTTCAATTTGTTATTAAGGGACTATCAATTAGGATTTGTATTAATCTATTGCTTTGCCTCTGTGCCTTTAAGTTATTTTCAGCTAAGGTACGCTAGTTGCAGTGCATTCGGGTGGCCCCCCCCCCCCACAATTTTTTTTCTCCTCCGGTTATTTCGTCCTATTACACTCGTTTCCCTCATTATATATTCTATTCTGAATTTGTGCATTATATCTGACCACCCATTCTTCATCGTATCGACAGTACATTAAGTTACATTTGGACGCTACCGAGAAGTTTAGCTGGCCTCGCGCACGGTGTCATGCAAAAAACTGGCCATTCGGCCTTCCTTTCGGCAAGCTCAAGCCAGTCAGTTAGCATGACGTCGGCCAGCTTGTGGTTGGCCAGCGCAGCCAGCATGCTGTTGGCCATAGGTCGCTAACGTTCTTTGGCCATCCGGCCTTCTGGGCTATTTTACTCTTCTTGTACCTTCGCCTTTGTTGTTTCCTACTACGTAATAGTATTCTATTTAATTTTACCTCATCTATCATTAGGTTAGGGGCCCCTTACCTCCAACCGCTATTCCTTCCACTGCGCTCTGCCCGCTTGGCGCTCAATGCCGGTTTCTTCTGTTCCCTTTATTCGCAGCCACGACAAGCCGGAACCCCCCCCCCCCCCCTTCACACCCTACTGCGGCGAGGAAGAGAACGCGAGCCGGATATTCCTCTGATCACCATCAACGCACGCAGCGGTGCCGGGATGCAGCCGCCCAGGGCCTACGTTAATACTATTATTTTCTCTTTATTTGCTGGGCTATATGGCAGTATTAATATTACTCCGTACCGTTACTGTCATTCCAGTATTATTTTATTAAAATATAAATTGTTATTATGGTTTGGCGTTGCTTTCTTAATTTCTTCCATTCTGCGGCACTTGCCGTCATCTGTTATTTACGATATTACATTGTATTCTTCATTGTGCGATTATTTACGACATTGTATTCTTATTATTATCCTTATTACAGTTACTGAATGGCAGCTCCCTGCCGTCGATTTCACTTTGCTCCTGTTCTAAAGATGTTGCCGAAGTTCACGGCGTACTAGCTGCGGCTCAGACGCTCATTGACAACACAAGACTACACTCAGCGGCCACTCAAGGCAGACCCCTTGGCTTCCATCCAGCCCAATCACCCGTCTGGAGGCAGAGATGGGATAGAGACCAAGGGTAATGTTCCCCGCTCACATTCTACATCCGATTAGGACACAAGCATGTTATAGATTTGGCTTTAAGAATTGGTTCTTATTCCATTTTATTGTTTATGTATATGTTGCTTAGTTGTTATACCCTTTCTTGGTATATGTATTGTTTATATTCAAGATTTATAGTGTTTCGTCTTACCCTGTTATAGTTCCTTTGTGCCTCCTTGCTGTTCTACCGGTTTTCTCCCACCTTTGCTCTTAGCAAAGGTACTTCCCCCTTCCGTTTGCTGGAAGATTCTTAGATTTGTTAGCCCCCCTTCATTGCTACAGTATATTTATTCGGAGGCTCTTTATTCCTCCAGGATTGTTAATTAAGGTTTCTCTTAATTCCTGCTGCCGGGCTCCCTCCCCCGTTTTCGTCTCCGTATTGATTCAGCTAGGGTTTCCCTCTCGTCTGTGCTCTTGCCTGTCACGATAACACTGCACGCCGCTTCTGCCCACCCTTACTGCCTTATATCTTTCAGCCCGGGGGAGGTGAGCTACGCGACAAAAAATCGACGCACGCTCCGACTGGACCAGGTATCGCTTACATGGTCAGGAATCAACACTCTTCGGATCCTACAAGCACAGATCCTACAAGCGCTCCTGTCACCAGGCGAGATTTCTCCAGGACCCTACGCGCTGCCCTCTCGGCGCTAGGCTTGACTTCAGATGACTACGCCCCGCACCCAGCTGTCTCGGGACGGGCTCGCCACATCAGAAATAATGGCAAACGGCAGGCGGAAGAGTAGTGCCCACATCCTACGTCAGACGGGACGTTGTTGCTCTGCTACATTGAGTGCCTCACGCGGCCAGCTGGCACTCGCCCTTCGGGGGGGGGTCCGGCCGCTGGCCTGCGGTGGGGGTGCAGCGCCGGTCCCCAAGTGTCCCGCTGTCCGCAGCTAATACTTTGCCCAGTCTAGGTGCTAGTAAGCCCTACTTGTAGTCACACCCCCTTCTCCTTATCCATTAGGTCTTTTACGGCCTCTTGGCCGGGTACATTACGTGTTATGTGGTCTCTCACTTATTAGTTATTCTTTGTGTCCTGCCTGTTATATCCTAGTGTTATATAATTACTACACATTTGCACTCGGCCTTAATTCTAGTACCAGTTAACCTTTAGGTTTCTGCAGAATTAGTTTCCATGTCACTATAGGCTAAGGTCTCATACTTACTACGGGTGTACCTTTTAAGTTAAATCTAGTCCTCGGACTTGGAATTGTTACTGTTAATTCTTACTTTATATATTTACTTTATATATTTTAATATAAACGTTATATAGTCCTTAAATTATATATTTTCAAACTTTATATATTTACATGTTCAATATTAAGTTTAATAATATCAACTTTGTTATAAGCCTATAATATAAACCGTGTTTAATATAAACTTTATATAATTACTTACTTTATATTTGAACTTTATACATTTACATGTTCTGCAGAATTTAATCTTCAATAAACTTTAACGCCCCATACTGCCAGTATCTTTCTCCCCCTGGTCAGAAAATGAAGATTATTTGACCATGTCGAATAGTCTTCACTCGCTCCACTGCGAGAAGCCGACCTCTCGCCGAGTTTTAAAAAGGAACTTGACATACACCTTTAAAGGATCAACCAGGCTGTGACTCATGTCGGGCTGGGTGCAACCGCATCGAACAGCCTGGTTGATCAGACCACTGACCAGGAGGCCTGGTCAGAGACCGGGCAGCGAGGACGTTGATCCTCGGAATCATCGACTGGTAATATATCAAATTCTAATGTATATTTTCCAAATATAAATTATTATTATCTTTATGACTGTTATTCTCCACTTATATAGTCAGATGATTATGTTAAACACTAATCAGTACCTGGGCAATGTCCTCCAGCATGGAAGAAGACGATATCTTCCTCTCCATGCTAGAGTTGCTGGAGCTGCTGGAGGACCTCCTGAAGCGGTTATCGTCGTCGGAGCCGCCACCCTGCATCACCTCCCGTGCCATCGTTGACCACTTGAGAACCGATGGCCTCTTGCTGAGCCTACTAGTAGTGGCGTCCTGGCCGGTCAGGTCTCTTCGTTCTCCACGCGAACTGTTCTCAGTGCGCCGTGCGCCGATGCGTTTATTCTTGCTCTCCGGTGTTGAAGTCATAACTGGAATGTCGTCCCCGGACCCTGCAGTATCGGCATGAGGACACATGCTCTGGTCCCAGGAGCTGTCTTCTTTGCCCTCATGATCCCTCAAGAAGTCGAATGAATCGAAAAATTCGTCGTCGCTAATCGACCTACTTTTACTCCTACGGTCCCGGTCAGCCATCTTGATCTTTCCCAGAACGTGTCTTTTTAATATATGGGTATCACCATAATTTGGCTTTGTACGTCAGCAACACAAACTGAAAACAAAATTAATAGTTAAATATTTGATATAACTTCTAAAAACAACGCCTATTTTTTGCTTATTGCCTATATATACATTTTGCCTATTTAATGTAAATAACAATTGTGTTGTACCCGTACAAGCCTACTGCTCCACCTCACTAGGGAAGACAGTGATTGATTGATGAAGATTTAGCCACCCATGGCATGTAAGTGGTGGCCACGGGAGACTGCATTTCCCGTCACGCAGGGTGCAGTCGCACCTCCACAGATCTCCAGTATCAGCTCTTGATACTGGTAATGGCTCAAAAGGGCCACCACTTACGGGCTATTCATGCCCGCGCCACCTTTTGGGTGGCTTAATCTTCATCAATCAATCAATCAATCAATCAAGGGGTGGCGCGGGCATGAAAGGTCCGTAGTAAGATTTTTTTAGATGGTACAAGTGGTATATTTTTTTGGAGTGCTGAGCACGCATTTAAACTCAGTCCTTATACCATGTGCTACTATCGCGGGGGAGAAAAATAGAAAATATCTGACAACAACCAGGGAAGACATTGTTAGGCTTTAGTATCTACGGTAGCCCCCACACACTACCTGCTCTTTTAGCGACATTCACTGTGAGGGAGGCAGCAGCCCAAGGGAAGACAGCAGCTCGAGGGAGGCAGCAGTGCGAGGCAGGCAGCAGCCCGAGGGAGGCTGCAGCAGCCCGAGGGAGGGCAGCAGCCCGAGGGAGGGCAGCAGCCCGAGGGAGGGCAGCAGCCCGAGGGAGGGCAGCAGCCCGAAAGAGGGCAGCAGCCCGAGGGAGGGCAGCAGCCCGAAAGAGGGCAGCAGCCCGAAAGAGGGCAGCAGCCCGAAAGAGGGCAGCAGCCAGAGGCAGGGCAGCAGCCAGAGGCAGGGCAGCAGCCAGAGGCAGGGCAGCAGCCCGAGGGAGGGCAACAGCCAGAGGGAGGGCAGCAAGTGGTGACCGAGTGACAACCATTAATTACACATGTGTAGTCCTCGCGCACCAACACCTGCTATCTATATTCCCAAACATACTTCATAACTCAAAATTTATTTCAAACATGTCTAATATTATCTCTCTCAATGGCCATTACTTGCGGCAACACACGGAACTTATGGTATGGCAACACAAGCTCAAGCTTATAGCACTGCAACACACGAATAATTAGGCTTATGGGACTGACTATTACAACTGTCTCCTTTATTAGCAGTGTTGACAGTCGTACCACCACCACCCGGTGTTGACAGTCGCACCACCACCAGGTGTTGACAGTAGCACCACCACCACCACCCGGTGTTGACAGTAGCACCACCACCACCACCCGGTGTTGACAGTCGCACCACCACCAGGTGTTGACAGTAGCACCACCACCACCACCCGGTGTTGACAGTCGTACCACCACCACCCGGTGTTGACAGTCGCACCACCACCAGGTGTTGACAGTAGCACCACCACCACCACCCGGTGTTGACAGTCGCACCACCACCACCACCCGGTGTTGACAGTCGCACCACCACCCGGTGTTGACAGTAGCACCAGCACCACCCGGTGTTGACAGTAGCACCACCACCACCACCCGGTGTTGACAGTCGCACCAACACCACCACCCGGTGTTGACAGTCGCACCACCACCCGGTGTTGACAGTAGCACCAGCACCACCCGGTGTTGACAGTAGCACCACCACCACCCGGTGTTGACAGTAGCACCACCACCACCTGGTGTTGACAGTAGCACCACCACCACCCGGTGTTGACAGTAGCACCACCACCACCACCACCCGGTGTTGACAGTAGCACCACCACCACCCGGTGTTGACAGTCGCACCACCACCACCCGGTGTTGACAGTCGCACCACCACCACCCGGTGTTGACAGTCGCACCCCCACCCGGTGTTGACAGTCGCACCACCACCCGGTGTTGACAGTCGCACCACCACCCGGTGTTGACAGTCGCACCACTCCCACCACCCGGTGTTGACAGTCGCACCACCACCAGGTGTTGACAGTCGCACCACCACCCGGTGTTGACAGTCGCACCACTCCCACCACCCGGTGTTGACAGTCGCACCACCACCAGGTGTTGACAGTCGCACCACCACCACCCGGTGTTGACAGTCGCACCACCACCCGGTGTTGACAGTCGCACCACCACCACCCGGTGTTGACAGTCGCACCACCACCCGGTGTTGACAGTCGCACCACCACCCGGTGTTGACAGTCGCACCACCACCCGGTGTTGACAGTCGCACCACCACCCGGTGTTGACAGTCGCACCACCACCCGGTGTTGACAGTCGCACCACTCCCACCACCCGGTGTTGACAGTTGCACCACCACCACCCGGTGTTGACAGTCGCACCACCACCACCACCCGGTGTTGACAGTCGCACCACCACCACCACCCGGTGTTGACAGTCGCACCCCCACCCGGTGTTGACAGTCGCACCACCACCCGGTGTTGACAGTCGCACCACTCCCACCACCCGGTGTTGACAGTCGCACCACCACCACCACCCGGTGTTGACAGTCGCACCACCACCACCACCCGGTGTTGACAGTCGCACCACCACCACCCGGTGTTGACAGTCGCACCACCACCACCCGGTGTTGACAGTCGCACCACCACCCGGTGTTGACAGTCGCACCACCACCACCACCCGGTGTTGACAGTCGCACCACCACCCGGTGTTGACAGTCGCACCACCACCCGGTGTTGACAGTCGCACCACTCCCACCACCCGGTGTTGACAGTCGCACCACCACTAGCACCACCCGGTGTTGACAGTCGCACCACCACCCGGTGTTGACAGTCGCACCACTCCCACCACCCGGTGTTGACAGTCGCACCACCACCACCCGGTGTTGACAGTCGCACCACCACCCGGTGTTGACAGTCGCACCACCACTAGCACCACCCGGTGTTGACAGTAGCACCACCACCCGGTGTTGACAGTCGCACCACCACTAGCACCACCCGGTGTTGACAGTAGCACCACCACCCGGTGTTGACAGTCGCACCACCACTAGCACCACCCGGTGTTGACAGTAGCACCACCACCACCCGGTGTTGACAGTCGCACCACCACCTGGTGTTGACAGTCGCACCACCACCCGGTGTTGACAGTCGCACCACCACCACCCAGTGTTGACAGTCGCACCACCACCTGGTGTTGACAGTCGCACCACCACCACCCAGTGTTGACAGTCGCACCCCCACCCGGTGTTGACAGTCGCACCACCACCACCCAGTGTTGACAGTCGCACCACCACCCGGTGTTGACAGTCGCACCACCACCACCCAGTGTTGACAGTCGCACCACCACCAGGTGTTGACAGTCGCACCACCACCCGGTGTTGACAGTCGCAACACCACCCGGTGTTGACAGTCGCACCACCACCACCCGGTGTTGACAGTCGCACCACCACCACCCAGTGTTGACAGTTGCACCACCACCACCACCACCCGGTGTTGACAGTTGCACCACCACCACCCAGTGTTGACAGTCGCACCACCACCCGGTGTTGACAGCCGCACCACCACCACCCGGTGTTGACAGTCGCACCACCACCACCCGGTGTTGACAGTCGCACCACCACCCGGTGTTGACAGTCGCACCACCACCACCCGGTGTTGACAGTTGCACCACCACCACCCGGTGTTGACAGTCGCACCACCACCACCACCCGGTGTTGACAGTCGCACCACCACCCGGTGTTGACAGTCGCACCACCACCACCCAGTGTTGACAGTTGCACCACCACCAGGTGTTGACAGTCGCACCACCACCCGGTGTTGACAGTCGCACCACCACCACCCGGTGTTGACAGTCGCACCACCACCACCCAGTGTTGACAGTTGCACCACCACCAGGTGTTGACAGTCGCACCACCACCACCACCCGGTGTTGACAGTCGCACCACCACCACCCGGTGTTGACAGTTGCACCACCACCACCCAGTGTTGACAGTTGCACCACCACCAGGTGTTGACAGTCGCACCACCACCCGGTGTTGACAGTAGCACCACCACCACCCGGTGTTGACAGTTGCACCACCACCACCCGGTGTTGACAGTCGCACCACCACCACCCGGTGTTGACAGTTGCACCACCACCACCCGGTGTTGACAGTCGCACCACCACCAGGTGTTGACAGTCGCACCACCACCCGGTGTTGACAGTCGCACCACCACCCGGTGTTGACAGTCGCACCACCACCACCCAGTGTTGACAGTCGCACCACCACCCGGTGTTGACAGTAGCACCACCACCACCCGGTGTTGACAGTTGCACCACCACCACCCGGTGTTGACAGTCGCACCACCACCACCCGGTGTTGACAGTTGCACCACCACCACCCGGTGTTGACAGTCGCACCACCACCAGGTGTTGACAGTCGCACCACCACCCGGTGTTGACAGTCGCACCACCACCACCCGGTGTTGACAGTCGCACCACTCCCACCACCCGGTGTTGACAGTCGCACCACCACCACCACCCGGTGTTGACAGTCGCACCACCACCCGGTGTTGACAGTCGCACCACCACCCGGTGTTGACAGTCGCACCACCACCCGGTGTTGACAGTCGCACCACCACCCGGTGTTGACAGTCGCACCACCACCCGGTGTTGACAGTCGCACCACCACCACCCGGTGTTGACAGTCGCACCACCACCACCCGGTGTTGACAGTCGCACCACCACCCGGTGTTGACAGTCGCACCACCACCACCCAGTGTTGACAGTCGCACCACCACCTGGTGTTGACAGTCGCACCACCACCTGGTGTTGACAGTCGCACCACCACCTGGTGTTGACAGTCGCACCACCACCTGGTGTTGACAGTCGCACCACCACCACCCGGTGTTGACAGTCGCACCACCACCACCCGGTGTTGACAGTCGCACCACCACCCGGTGTTGACAGTCGCACCACCACCACCCGGTGTTGACAGTTGCACCACCACCACCAGGTGTTGACAGTCGCACCACCACCACCACCAGGTGTTGACA